AACAACATTCTGGGGTCACAGGTTGAAAAACACCAACCTAATCCCAGCAAGGAGCCTGACGATTTCCTGCCATGACCCACTGGCAGAAGCTGCTTTCTCCTCCCTCGCACTCCCATCAAGGCTGACCCTCATTTTTGAGCACATCCTGGAACCCCACTAACCTGGGGTGCTCGCTCAGTGACCCCACCTGCCATCCTCAGTTTTGCTTCTAAACTAGGTGCTGACTTGCTTCCACCGAAATAGAAGCACATGCAAGTATCCACACCCTAAAAGAAAAAGGGGACAGGGCGGGGCAGTGAGGAGGGAACACCTGCCTCAGGAACATACCTTCCATCTGTGCCATCTCTAACTGGTAATCGTCACTTACGCCAACTGAAACCTGGTAAGTAAAGTCTCTTCCACAGTTTTAAGAGCCTTATGAGTCCTATTATTTTCCACCCAAAGGCATCGCTTCTGTCATTTCTGTTACTTGACTCTTCTCTCTTATGGAAAAACTTTACTCCTCCCTCCCATCTCAAGATTCAAGTTTAAAGATTCAGTCAGGAGAGGACAATGCAGGATGATGAAGAACAGGCAGAGCTCAGGAAGCAAGTTTCTCCAGTTTCCAGGAAGCAACTGAAATTTCAAAGGACCATCCCAAAAGACCGGTCTGTCACAGAATCCGCACCCTGACAGTTTCTTCCTGTCCAGGAGTCTCCAATGAGGAAGTAAGATGAAAGCTGTAGATAAAGTGATGAGATCCAAGAATCCTACAGATATCTTACACCACCAGTGCTTTCAACACTAATGGATACTCTGACATGTTTAATGGAGATAAAATATCAAAGAGCAGGTGCTTTAAAAAATAGCGATAGCACAGCGGGTAGGGCGTTTGCCTTGTTTGCAGCTGACCCAGGTTCGATTCCCAGCATCCCATATGGTCCCCCGAGCACCACTAGGAGTAATTCCTGAGTGCATGAGCCAGGAGTAACCCCTGTGCATTGCCAGGTGTGACCCAAAAAGCAAAAAATAAATAAATAAATAATAAAGCACCACTATTAAAATACACTGGCTATGTCCAAGAGCAACTCCCTTTAATTGTTCTTTGTTTCCCACTTGTTCTGGAATTCTCATTCTTGTGCCTGGATCTTATGACCACACACAATTTCAGAATGCCAGCGTACAGCCCACGAGACACAACCCCCAGCAAGCACATGACTCAAGGTGACGCCCGTGGGCACTGCACCCACATGGCTGTAGACACTGCATCGACTACACATGCTCAAGCCCTGAAGCTGACATGTGCAAACACCCCACACCATCCCCCGCAATGCTCCCACAGTAAGCACCACGACCACCAAGGGTATTTGAGCCCCGGTCACAGCAATAACACCACAGAAAAGGACCAGAGCAGGGGTCAGAGCGATAGTACAGGGGGTAGGGCGTTTGCCTTGTACACAGCCGACCCGGGTTCGATCCCTGGCATCCCATATGGTCCCCCACGCACCACCAGGAGTAACTCCTGAGTGCGAAGCCAGGAGTACCCCTGAGCATCGGTGGGTATGACCCATAAAGCCAAAAAAAAAAAAAAAAAGGACCAGAGCAGCTAGGGCATTTGCCTTGCACAAAGCTGACCCACATTTGATCCCTGGCATCCAATAAGCACCACCAGGAGTGATCCCTGAGCACTGCCAGGTGTGTCCCCCCCCCCCCCCCGCCACAAAATGAAAAAAGTAACACCAAAGAAATAATGAATTCTGCAGGGGGGGAAATGGACTGAAATTAGCTGATGGAAAAGTAAATGTGAAGAAGAAAAAGAGAAATTTACAAATCATGAATTACTTTGCATGTGACCAACAGAACACACTTTCACAAATAACTCAAAAAGCAAAGTTGGCTAGTTAATGAAAATAAAAATAAACATTTGGGGCCAGGGATATGGTTCCAAGGGATGACTCACATGTCTCGCATGTGCAAGGCCCCCCACTGGGCCCCTGGACCAGCACAGGCACCTGTGGGTGTGGCCCCAACAGCCTCCACACAGGTCAGAGCATGGGCTAGCCTGGCATACACTCACTGGCAGGGGACCGATGGGAACGGAGCCCAGTTCTGCTGCGCATGGTCCCCATAACACCCACAGATCCTCAGAAGGGACAAGCTACAGGAGACTGAAAGAATATGAAGGTACATCGAGTGCAGGCCAGCCCTGTGAGCACCCTGCCGACAGCTCTCTCTCTCTCGCTTGCTCTCTCACTCGCTCTCTCTCTCCCCCCCTCTCTCCCCTCTCCCTCTCATCACCTCTCTCTTCTCCTTCTCACTAACCCCCCCATATATATATATCCCCTGCCCTCATATTTCTCTAAAGTCCTTTCAGTAAACTATTTTGCTTTTGCTTCACTAAAATTAATAAATAAATGATTCTGAAAGTGCCAGAAAACATCATCTATAGAAATATGCCAATTTGGGGCCGAAGTGACAATAGAGCCTGTAGGGTGCTTGCCTTGCTAGTGGCTGACCTGGGTTCAATCCCTGGCATTCCATATGGTCCCCCAAGTCCCACCAGGAGTAATTCCTGAGCACAGAGCCAGGAGTCAGCCCCAAGCACGGGTGGGTTTAGCCAAAAACAAAACAGAACAAAGAAAGCAAAAAGCCGATCTCCACCCAGACTTATGGACAATGCAAATCACTGGCTGCTGGGGAGAAGGGCAGGAGGGAAGGTGCTTACCTGGCATGCACCCAACCCTGTTTGGTATCCCCGGCACCACACGGCATCCCTCAAGCACTACCAAGGGTCACTTCTAGCAGAGAGCGAGGAATAGCCCCTAAGCACCTCAGGGCACAGCCCAAGCCTGAGCACCGGAGGATGTGGAGCTGAGGACTGGGATGCGGTGAGGGTGCCCTAAGCCCTGCTCCGCCTCTCCAGCCCTGCGACTTGTTTGTTTTTTTGTTTCTTTCATGATAGTGTGGAAAAGACTCCTGCACTGTTTCTTTCCCCCTACGCTGATCATGGAATTCACAGAAAGTCCCAAACCACCTGTAATAGCAAAACCAACAGAGTTAACAAAGAATCCCATCCTCAGATAGAAAATGCAGCTTTTTGGCAACTGCCTGTATTACAGGTGTATCACTCTTACACTTTAAAGATGACATAAAAATGTGAAGCAATTACAGAACAGATGAACTAAGAACTGTGTGAGACTGTTTGCCGGACTCTGCCTCCGACAGGAGCAAGCAGGGACGAGGAACAGTCCACCGGCCCAGGAGCACTCCCGGGCAAAGTGAGCCCAGTGCAATTCACGCCCACAAGCTCAGACATTCCCTAACCCCCGTTATGCTGACCCCTTCGGCAGAACTGGGTTTTTCCTTTGGTTGACTACTTAAGCCACAGCCCCTTAGACTCGGATTTTCCATCCCTCAGTCCCATATCTGCCTCCGACTGAAAGCAGAACAGATGAACTAAGAACTGTGTGAGAACTTTCCAATGCATAGCTTCCAGGAGTCATTAAAACACGATTTAACAGTCCAGTGGCTCAGCACCATCGCCTCCTAACACCATTCAATTCTGTCGTTTGTGAAAATCTCTTGCCTTTTGTCTGCTGTTGGAAAAAAAAAAAAAACCATTGTGTGCATTTTAGGGCCACACTTGGCCCTGTGGTTGGGGATCACTCCTGGCAGGCTCAGATGATCACAAGGGATGCCAGGGTTTGAACCTTGCATGCAACCAACCCACTGCAAGCAAGCCGAAAACCCTACTCAATGTACGATCTTTCCATCCCCCCAAATATTTTAAGGGTCATTCAAGTATAGACCAGTGAGCTCAGTTTGATCCCACTCAACCTGCACTTCCTATTCTACAAACGGAGTCTCACAGAACCCTGGCATCTCCACAGCGCTGAGGGCAAGGCACACGGCCCACCATCAGGTCCCTCAGCTAAGAGTAAGGGTCCGCTCCCAGGACGCGTGGGTGTGGCCCCAAACCAAGACAACAAAACAGAAGCTCTAACATCTTTAGAACTTACCAACTGATGAGGTGGTTTATTTCTTTTTCTGCTGAACCACCAGCCTAACTCATGCTTCCCCGGAAGGCTGCCCACGTACCCTTTCATTTCAAATTGGGGTTATGGCAGCACATTTGTCTTTAATCTCCTAGACATCCCGCAGCCACGCAATGACTACAATTACGCTATACTGAGCAATCATTTCCTCTGAAAGCAATATGGCAGTGGTAACAAGATCTGCCAAAATATTTCCTGCACCAACCCTCTTATGAGGGTTATTAACTCATTTATTTTAAACTACAAAACAGCAAGAAATTTTGGGCAAACACAGCTACTGAATTCGCCAGCTCTTTTTGTTAAATAAAACTAAAATGGGGCCGGGAAGACAGTTCGATGGGGTGGAGCGAATGTTCCACGTGCAAGAGTCCTGGCTCAATCCCTGGTACAGCAGGGTCCCCCTGAGCACCTCCGGTAGCGATCCCTAAGCACCAGGCTGGGACTAGACCCTCAGCAGCCTGAGGCCTGGCCTCTACAACCAATGTTAAACAGAAATAAAATGCAATCCATAAAATGCAAACACGGAATTGCTCATTTTGTGTATCCTCTCTGCCATCAGACCTAAAAAAAGGGTCACTTGCACCATAAACTGAAACTATATCTATCCTGTATGATGAATTGCACAATATTTTATATTTAGGGCGTTTTCCTTGCTCAGTCAGCCTGGCCCAGCTGGGTTCAATTCCTCTGTCCCCCTCGGAGAGCCCGGCAAGCTACCGAGTATCTCGCCCACACGGCAAAGCCTGGCAAGCTACCCACGATGTATTCGATATGCCAAACACAGTAACAACAAGTCTCAAAATGGAGATGTTACTGGGCCCGCACGAGCAAATCAATGAACAACGGGAGGACAGTGTTTGTAAGAATAGATAAGTATGCAAAATATATGTGGCCAGTAACTGATCTACAAAGGACATTGCGGTTCTCTGAATCTTGAGTCAGCTAAGAAAGAATATGAACAAATACCCAGCAGACAGGGACTCGGGATCCTGCAGGCGACGCTCCATGTGGTCAACTCTCGGACCCGCACCTGGCGACCTTTCTCTCACGTCTGAACGGCGCTGAGAGTCAGCTGTGGGGCCGGATTCTGCTGGCTTTGGCTCTGAACGCTTTGTGTCCGCTTCCCTGCGCTCAGACTGAGTCCAGGACGCCACACTTTCTTCACTGTTTTCAGTGGGTTTCCGAAACCCGCAACGCACAGAAGACCAGGGAGGCTCCGCGTGTCGGCCCTTGTGAGGAAATGACAGTTCTTCATCGTCGGAGGGTCTGAGGAACTTGGGTTTCCTATTTCCAAGAGAAGGAAAGTCTTGACTTTGCCTTGGACCAGTGCCTCTTCCACAAGCATCTACAGACCCACGTCTACTATCTTTCTCATCTCTACTAAACTTCTGCTCATGGATGTCGTCCGCAAGATCGGTTGCGCCACATCTGTCCCTTGAACTTCTGTTACACTTAAATGCGTCTGATCTTCTACTTTCTTGATGACCTGACGTGTTATCAGAGTATGTTGGCTTTCTCCACCGTTCTCGTCCACAATCTTCTTTTGCTGATGCCGTTTTCTTGGCTTCTTCTAATTTTGACTGAAATATTTCCATTGACTACAAAGCAAAAAAAAAAAAATTAAACAAGGCATTTAACATTTAAAAGGGATCTGTGGGGCCCAGAGAGAAGCACAGTGAGTAGGGCAATTCCTTTGCACACAGCCAACTTATATATATATATACACACATGTATAAATATTAGAATGTAGGTATTTACTGGTATTCAACTAAGTATATTAGCAAGTGGAAGCAGCAGGATAGATTCTGTCAGCCTACAGCTATAAATAAAAAATAGCACAGCGGGTAGGGCGTTCGCCTTACAAGCGGCCAACATGGCCGACCCGAGTTCGATTCCTCCGCCCCTCTCGGAGAGCCCGGCAAGCTACCGAGAGTATTCGATATGCCAGACACAGTAACAACAGCTATAAAACTGTGTTCAAAAGAACAGAGGAGGGGGCCGGAAAGAAAGCTCAATGGGTGACCACTCAGATTTCATGCAGGGGGACAGGTTCAATTTCCAACACCACACAATCCCCTGAGCCCCAGCAGTAGTGACCCCGAGCACCAATCCTAGAGCAGTGGATATGCCCTACCCCAAAAGGACAGAGAAACGAAAGAGTATTTTTTTATTGATATATCAAAATATTTACAGACTCAAAGCAAAATACTAATTTTGGGTTTGTTTTTTTTTTTTTGGTTGCCTATTATTTTCAAACTAGTGTATCTTTCTAGACTTATTTTCTTCAAATTAAGCAAGAATGAAAAGGAAAATCAGATGCAACTCCAGCAGATAACACAAGGGTGGTGAAAGGAGAGCCGGCTCTGAAGGGCCACATACTGCCACACAGCCCCACTTGCCTCAGAAAGACAGCACATTCCAGAATTCAGGATATAACCCAGACTCTGGGGTTTGGCAGGAACTCTGACATGTGCCAACATTTCCGTAATGGCTCACCTCCAGGGGTGCACGGCACAGAGGCTGTCCTGTCCTGTGGCACTCAGATTGTTTCTCACAATGAGAAACAATATTTTTACTGGAAACAATGCACACTTGAATGCTGCATGCTTAAATTGTCTATTCATTTGCCCATAAAAATATGGTACAAAGTTTTACACAATAATGAAAAGCGGGAAGTCTATATGGACTTGAATAGCAAACCTATTCAAAATGTCTCATTAGATAAGACTGTGACAAAGAGAAAAAGATTTAATTTCTCCTAGAACTCTGAAGACTGTAGATCTCCTTCATAGCAATACTTACCCCATATCTTTCAGCTACGATATCTTCAAAATTTCTATTTTGTTTCTCAGCCTGTTCCTTCATTCTTTGATAAGATTTCCTTAGCCAGCTTAAACCACCATCTTCTACTACTGAAACTAAATTCAAATATTAAATGTCAGTTACACTTTTCACATAGCACGATAAAATTAATATTTTCTATGACAGAGTATAAATGATTCCTTGAACATATACAATTTGGGGTATTTTTTTTGGGGGGGGCACACCTGGCAGTGCACTGGGCTTACTCCTGGCTCTGCGCTCAGGAATCACTATAAAATATAAGGAAGCTCTAGGGAAACAGCTACACAAACACAGCGCTGGAGTATCTGCCAGGCGTGCGGGGGACAGACCTGCCTGGCAGCACTGAGCCCGAGGCTCTGGTTCTGACACAGAACCCAGAGGCCTCATGCTTCCACCTGCCAGGACTTGGGAGCAGCAGCAAGTCTAATGTCTCACGACCAAGACAATAACTATAAACAAAACCAAAAAAAACACTCTAGTGATAAATCACTAGGATGAGAAGGTATCATCATAATCTACCATACTAGAATCTGTGTAATTAGAATGGATTACAATTGAAATAAGATCTTCACTCAGTTACTGCTGGAGCCCTTAATGGCGTATTTGTATTTATGTATTCAGATATGATTTGTGACACAAATATTTGTCTCCATCTGCTGGAAAATAACAGCAGTATCCTAAGTTCAGTACCAATTTCATGAATGCTGCGAAGGAGGAGTTCCTGAAGATATGAAGGCCCTCCTTATAATTTTCATGACATTTACAGACGTAGTGCTTGTTTGAGTTTCCTGCTTGTTCAGAGGGCATTTTTAGCTACACCCAGTGGGCACAGGCTACTCCCTGACTGGGGTAGATGCTTTACATGCAGGAGACCCAGATTCAACCCCGGAAACCACATGGTTCCCCAAGCACAGGCAGGGTGAGCCCCAAGAGTAGCCTCTGGAAACCCCCGGAGGTATCCCCCAAAACCGAAACAATGAAATAAAATCATCTTCTGAAGTGCACATACTACAGCTTGAGCCATTGACCCACAGGTCCTCTTAAGGTGAAACGTGAAATCTCACACAGGGAGGTCTGCGAACAGTTACAGAGGAGATCAGTCTGGCCTGAGGCCAGGGCTGTGAGTCAGACCAGGGCCACTGCTCTATATACAGTGGTCACCTTTGGTCCCCACGTACCCTTCAATATGGGCAGGGGGCCTGGCGGGCCCACATAGTCGAGCCTAGTATCACTGGGAAAGACCCCAGACACCCCTGAGCACCGCTTGGGAGGAATCCAGAATAAATTATAGCACCAAGAAGAAATATCTAAAGAACTATTGGTAAGATTTAGAGCTAACAATGATCAATATTTGATATGGATTAATATGCATTTATTTTGTGATTTTTGTTTGAATTTGTTTTGGTTTGGGGGCCACATCTGCTTGTGTTCAGAGATTACCCCTGGCTCTGTGCTCAAGGATCACTCCTGGCAGGACTCCGGGGACCCTATGGAACATGGGAAGCCTGGGCTGGAACCCAGGTTGGCCATGTTCAAGGCCAGGATGCTATCTGCTGTACTATTGCTCTGGCCCCTGTTTTTCATTTTTATAACCCATAACATCTTGCCAACCCACTCAAGTCATTCCCTTTGGAATAGCAAATCATAAAAGGTGCCCGTAGGACCATAAGCAAATATAGAGGTACCTTTCATAGCCGATGGCCCCCCACTGTCTTCTGGAGGCAGCCCCGTTCCCCCATCCTTCCAGTAAGGGTTCAGTTCTCTTTCCAGAAGTCTAGACTAGAACAAAACATTTTTAAAAATCACCATTTAGAAACAACTCACCATAAAATATATTGACAACAAATCTGAAATAGTTCACAGTTATAACCTTGGACAAATATTTAAATACCCAAGACATGCTTTTTTACAACTTTCAAGAAAGAATGTCTAAATTTTCATTCATTCATTCAATGCTTTTATTGCCAACCCCCCCCACCCCCCAGGAAGAAAAATTGGAGCCTGGGAGTCACTCCCAGAGCTCACTTCCAGCTCTGGGCTCAGAGATCGCTTCCTGACAATGATCGTGAAAACGTATGCAGTACTAAGGCGCACCCAGACCCAACAAAAAATATTTAAGGGACCAGAAAGATGGCACCTGCTTTACAAAGGCTTTCTGTGGTCCCCAAGCAGACTGAAATGACCGCTCCACAAAATAAGATGATTAAAATTCAAAGTGAATCTATCAGCAGGGTTGGGGGTGGCTCAGAGGCCTGGAGCACAGGCTTTGGAAGCAGAAGCCTCAGGTTTCCCCAGCACCCACGGGCCCCCGGTACTGCTGGGAGCCAACGGTGGCCAGGGTGGCTCCAAATTAAACACCAAAGCAGTCACCAGAATGGCCCCCAGGCCCTCTGAGCGCTGCTTAGGAACTCCCCGCAAACCTATTAAATATCTGCTAGACGCAGTCTTGAGGGTTTAAGTCTGCTGTTACAGTGGCTCTCAGGTCCAAGCTAGCCTGATAATCTCCTCTATAGTAGTGCTCCACAGCTATGAGCTAATGGCACAGACCCTGTTTCTGAAACTATGGTACGAGATGACCCCCTGAAAGAATACTTCTGCCAACTGCTACCCACTCAACAGGTAAAGTTTATAGTAAATTCTCAACTTGGAGAGCTCAGACTGCCGTCTCAAACCCAAACCCTGTGGAGTCGGAGCGAATAACAAAACTCAATACTGAGCTGAACTACACTCACTCGAGACCCGGGCAGCAAGCTTTACCTTTACGCTGACTCTGAGAACACACTTCCCTGAAGAAAAACGAGTGGCCAGGCGGCACCTGAAAGCACGCTGTCACTTGTTTTCAGGGAAATGTAAATACTAACAATGGATAGCCATCGTACTCTGGCGAGAACTGCAGCGACGAGACTGGAAATGGTCAGCACTGATGGGGATGCTGAGGAAAAGGGCCCCTCACTCACTGTGGGTGGGGAATGTGGGCTGACTCAGGGTGGATATTCCTCACAAGACTAAGAACTAAGACCAGGGAAAGAATACGGGGTGAAGGCACTTGCCTTGCACGCAGCTGACCCTGTTTGATCCCAAGCACAGTAAATGGTCCCCATAAGCACCACCAGGAATGATCCCTGAGCACAAAACAGGAGTAGTCCCTGAACACTGCCAGGTATGCGTCCCCCCACAAAAAAAAAATAAAAATAAAAATAAAAAGAATAATGATTAGTACTTCCTTATACCCTACCCCCCAAACATAAAGACACTGTTTCAAAAAGACATATGCTGGGGGTATGGTGCCGCCAGCAGGTCAATCTGTACCTGTGAGGTGAGTGCATCAGCAGCCTGTTGGCAACGTCAGACTTTCAGATACCCCCAAATTGCTGCTGTGCCTTTGGCCAGACCCCAAAAACTTGGGGCAAAGTTAACCAAGATAGTAAACGGCCAAAAGTTAGGTATGTGGAAGACACACCCACAAACGACCTCCAGCTCAGCTATATAATTGGAGGCATGGCCTCTCTGGTTCCTGATCGAACTGCTTAATGGCCATGATCCCAGAGTCTCAGAAACGAATCTCGGAACCCAAAGGCTTTTGGCAGAAATGCGTCCTGTTCCTGCAGTAGGTTACTGACGCTGAGCCACTCCAGGTGGAAATGGGTTTCATGCCTTGGCCTGTTCCCCCTGGCTGCCTGGTGACCACCATCCTCCAGAGGCCACTGGACAGTCAGGTTTGGGCCTGCAGTGATGAGACACAAGAGGCCTCACCACATGGGGGTGGAGCCGACTCTTTCTCCCCATCCCAACGAGACCCTGAGTTGCTGCCTATAAATGGTCTCCCTGGCTCCTGATCAAGCTGATTAATAGCCATGATACTGGAGACTAAGAAACAAATCTTGAAACTCAGCAGCTTTTGGCAGAAATGCATCTGGACTGCATACAAGGTGGCCGCCAGCTCAAAGCTTATTGGAAAGCCAGGTATGAGCTGGGGTGATGGGGCAACTGCAGTCTCATGGGAAGGGGGGCGGTACCGGCTCGTCCTTCACACCCTACCAAGGTCACGAGTTGACCCCCACAAGCAGCTCTCTGGCACGGCCATGGCTCCAGAGGCCAATGGACTTAATCCAGAGCCCGAAAGCTTGCAGCAGAAAAGTGAATGGACCATGCGTTAAACTACGGCACCATGCCTCCCCAGGAGGGAAAGGGTGTTGCTCCCTTCCACCTTCCCGCCCCTGGCAGCAAGGTGGCCACCACCTCAGAGCGTATTGGAAAGCCAGGTATGAGCCGGTGGTAACGAGGCAACTGGAGTCTCATGGGAAGGAAGGCAGTACTGGCTCGTCCTTCATGCCCTACCGAGGTCACGAGCTGCCCCCCACAAGCGGCTCTCTGGCATGGTCATGGCTCCAGAGGCAAAAGGACTTAATCCAGAGCCCGGAAGCTTGCGGCAGAAAAATGAATGGACCATGCATTAAACTACGGTGCCATGCCTCCCCAGGAGGGAAAGGGTGTTGCTCCCTTCCACCTTTTCCCCCCATGGCAGCAAGGTGGCCGCTGCCTCAGAGCTTATAGGAAAGCCAGGTATGAGCCGGCGGTGATGGGGCAACTGCAGTCTCATGGGAAGGGGGACGGTACTGGCTCATCCTTCACGCCCTACCAAGGTCATGAGTTGCCCCCCCACAAGTGGCTCTCTGGCACGGCCATGGCTCCAGAGGCCAAAGGACTTAGTCCAGAGCCCAACAGCTTGCAGAAGAAAAGTGAATGGACCATGCATTAAACTATGGCGCCATGCCTCCCCAGGAGGAAAAGGGTGTTGCTCCCTTCTGCCTTTTCCCCCCCTGGCAGCAAGGTGGCTGCTGCCTCAGAGATTATAGGAAAGCCAGGTACGAGCCAACGGTGACAGGGCAACTGCAGTCTCATGGGAAGGGGGTGGTACCGGCACATCCTTCATGCCCTACCAAAGTCATGAGTTGCCCCCCACGAGCGGCTCTCCAGCACAGCCATAACACCAGACACACAGAAACCAATCTCGTAATTATCTGGCTCTTTGCAGAAATCCAAAATTGTGGCCGTGTTACATTATATGATTCTCATAACCAGCTATAGAAAACAAAGTATTTCACAATGACTTTTCAGCAATTCTGATTGTTTGGGGGGAAATTCTAAACAATAATGGTGCATCTCTTGTCGAAATAATGAATGTAATCAATGTAGAGAAGAGTTAAGTAGAAATCATCTGCCTCACAGGCATTAGGAGGGGTGGGAGGGGGGGGTATACTGGGGTTCTTGGTGGTGAAAAATGAGTACTGGTGAAGGGAAAGGTGTTTGATCATTGTATGACCGAGACTTAAACCTGAAAGCTTGGTAGCTTTTCCCACAGTGATTCAATAAATAAATATAAAAAGAAAATAAATAAATAAATAAATAAATAATTGAAGTAGAGTTCATGCCCAATTCAATCAGCTAATCAGTGGCTGAATAAATAGCAGTACTCCTACAAAAAAAAAAAAAAACATACGCACAGCATATGGCAACAACCCAAATGTCCACTGACAGATGACTAGATCTGGGATATGTCAGGGAATATGTCCACAATGGAATACCATGCAGCTGTTCGTGCAACTTGGCTGAAACTGGAGGACACCATGTAATGTGAAGTATGTCAGAAGGTAAGAAGCAAATATCAGATGGTATTATTCCTCTGTGTTGAATAGATAATATTGAATGAGAACAAACTCTTTCATCTTTGACTGCAGAACTGAGATTACCAAGCACTGTTGTGGGGGCAGGGAGGAGAAGAAGAGATGGGACCCAGGTGACCAAGGACAGTGGTGGTGTGGGCACTTTAGGGGTGAGAAGAAGCAGTAACTTTGTTCATCAAAACCATGGCAATTAACAGTACTATAATGTTACCTAAACTAACTTGTTTGAAAAGAATTTATACCTCCTTTTCAAGGTGTTCTCACTTATTTTATTACATACCATTAAAAAATAAAAAATTTAAAAATAAAACTGCATTGTACAGCTCTTAATAACTGATTAAAGTCAAATAAGAAAAAACTGACATTTAATTATTTGTTCAAGCATTTATCGAAAATATCTATAGCATTTCTATACTCAGTTCTCTGTTCAAGTATTTCTGGAAAATACCATGCATTTCTATACCCAGTTACCTGTTCAAGTGCCTGGGCCTTTTCCTGCTCTATTTTCCTTTTAATTTCCTTTCCAGCTTTGAGTGACGACGATGACACAGTCTTAACAGACATAAAATCAACGGTCATCCATTCATCCCTCTGTTAAAAAAAAAAAAAGGTTAACAGATTGACTTTGATCTGAATGTAAAGAACTGAACCAGAACTCTAACTCACAAGAGCATATGTCCAGCCCAGTACCAGCCAGTACAGGCATTCAAACACTACTCTTTCCACCGTGCTCTCTTCTGCGTGGGCAACATGAAGGGGCATGACCTGCATTCATCAACATATATAAACCATCACCCTCAAACTGTGACATCTGGATGGTGAACACCACGAAGAAGAGCAGGGCGGGAAGTAAGGAGCGAAAATGGGAAAAAAATTTCATGGACTAGTAAAACATAAGTTTAAAAAATTAAAACTATTTATAATAGTATTTTGTATATTTTTAAATATAATTTTACAGATCCAAATTTTTATGAAAATTCTGTCATTGAAACAACCTCAATAGGCCCAGATTTCCAAGACAGTGGGTAGCTGAAATCCAGGGACCCTTGGGCAGCTGAAAGCCAGGAACCAGAGCTCACCTCTCCTAGGGAGCTGCAGGCACATGAAGCATCGCTGCCTATAAGTAAACCAGGAGCATGTGCTTACAAACTTGACTACTGAAGAAATAATATGCCTTTCATTTCACCATGCATCTACCCTTCAAAGCTCACTCTTTTTTTTTTTTTTTTTTGCTTCTGAGCCACAACTGGCAATGCTCAGGGCTTACTTCTGGCTCTGCATGAACTCAGGAATCATTCTTGGCAGTACATGGGGGACAACATGGTATGCCCAAGTGGGCTGCATACAAAGCAAGGGCCCACCCCCCCACCTACCCCCCCACCTTCCATCCTATGGCTCCGTTCCATGTTCATATTTTCTTAATTTATATCTGCATTTAGACGCATACCTGAACATCCTGGTGGTTTTCTTCCTCTGACTTTCCATCTTTTATTTTCCAGGCCTTTTCCTTGGCAGGAGCCTGGGTTGGAACTGCCTCAACCCACTCATCTTCAGAGCTCTAAGGACATTGCAGAGAAAGATTAAATTCTCCAATCTGCAAACTACCTATTAAACATTCTTGTTTTGCTTCTGTATAATTTGGCTTTTTAGGAAGGTTAAATCAACATGGCCGACCCGAGTTCGATTCCTCCACCCCTCTCGGAGAGCCCGGCAAGCTACCGAGAGTATTCGATATGCCAGACACAGTAACAACAAAGTCTCCAATGGAGACGTTACTGGGCCCACTCGAGCAAATCGACGATCAACGGGAGGGCCTTTACCTTTACCTTACCTTTACCTGACTTGTGTGAAAGTATACAGAACTTCTGTGTATGTTCTCATCCATTATTCCCTTTTGGGGAAATCAGAAAGACTTCCCAAGCAGTGCTCAGGAAACACAGGGTCCCTTCAGCTGATTCTATGCTAATTGGCCAGCAGGTGAGTGTCAGGGGCCAGGGTTGGTGCTGCTCAGGCCTGTGGTGCCAGAGACCACCCAGGCTGCCACTGTACAGCTCAGAGGCTCCAGGCCCATCCCAGAAGTACTGGCTGGCATCCAGGGGTGAAGCAGACAATGCCCGGGACCACGTGGTGCAGGGAGCTAGCTGGGATCTGTGGCACACCAGGCATGTGCCTTAGCCTTGCACCATCTCTCGCACCCACGTTATTCTTTGAGATACAACTCTCTGCATGGAGCTATTTTGGTTTGTTCCAGTGCATACTTACTGATGAACTGTCTGTTGATTCATTTTTTTCATGTTTCTGTTTCTTGCTCTTTTTCTTCTTCTCTTTCTTTGCTTTTTTTGAATGTTTGTCTTTTTTCTTCTTTTTCTTCACAGAGTGTTCCTACAAATAATCATTTTGAAGAGGTAGGAAATTTAGTTTAATTTTACTTTTAAGACAAATTATTTGGAGATGGGGAAAAACTGTTCTGAAAAATTAAAGTATTTCATGAAATGTGACAAAGAAGATAGTGAAATAAGTAAGATCTTCAGAGAAATCTCATGCCTCTAGAAGTACTACTAATAAATTATTTAGCTTAAGAGCTCTCATGTGAAAAACATGAGGGAACTTTTAGCTTTATTTGTGAATTTGTTTGAGATTACGTGTTTGTGTGTGTGTGTGTGCGTGTGTGTGTATAGAAAGACGTGTATACAAATGTGTAAATACACATTTTTCTATTATATGAAAAGAACTGGAGCCGGAACAATAGTACAGCAGGTAGGGTGTTTGCCTTGTACACGGCCAACCCAGGTTCGATCCCCAACATCCCATATGGTCCCCCAAGCACCACCAGGAGTAATTCCTGAGTGCAAAGCCAGGAGTAACCCCTGAGCATCGCTGAGAGTGACCCAAAAAGAAAAAAAAAAAGAATTATAGTTATTAGCCCATAAAAATACAAAATAGCATACATTTAAAACTGTGGGGGAAAAAATAAGAATTAAGCATCGCCTGTCTTCAAATCCAAACAAACCATAAACAAAATTCACCTGGGCAAACTGTTCGATCCGCTCATTCACATCAGGAAGCATCCAAGTATCCTCGCCCCGGAGTCGTTTAAGTTCTTTACATCTTTCTTCTTTTTCAAAATTAGCTTTGACCTGGAAAAAATAAAAATTGATCCAAATGGTTTCTCAGAAAGAAAAGAAACAACAAAAAAAGAACAAAAACTTTCCCACTTTTGTAGAGTTCCCTTCACTCTTATGCTCCTTTCCAGGAACGTGCACCAAATCGTATGGATGAAAACAGAAATTAAAAAAAACAAACTCCCTTCTCTTCCACAATACTGATCACTATTGTAAATGGGGACACACACGGCAATTCTTCAGCTGGTTAAGTGCATTTTCCAGGGACAGGCAATGGCAGGAAAGGCAGGTCAGGCCATCCCAACCTTCAGGGACTCTAACTCCATTCTAATCAGATTTCCTTTCCTAGATCTCACATCACACCACTAATCTGTAGTGAAGTCAGCTTTGTCAAAAACTCTGGCACCTTTTCTAGATCTCCCCCTCTCCCGACACTGCTTGTCACCAAAAGGACTTCATTCTCTTTCCCTTTGCCATCCCACTGCTCTGGCCTAGATCTCTGCAACTGGTAGCTAGCTCTCCATGCCTTATATCTGTAATGCAATCTCTTACTTGCCTATATATATATATATATATGCATATATATGCATATATATATATATTTAGGAATAATCATCTTCCTAAAAAAAAAAACACACAAATGAGTCACACTTTACTGTTCTTTCATGAATAGTGAAATAGAGCAAGCTTTTCCTAAAGGTTATTCCAACCCTTTTAAGCCATATTTGGTCCTTCTCAAACTGTACCAAGAGCCCTACTCTTTAGATTTTAATATGTGGCAGTTTACATAAGCCTGCAACCTTGGAAAAGAGACAAGAGCACCCCAGTTCAGTGCGCTGGGTGTGGTCCCGGGGGCTGGTGGTTCCTCATCCCACAAGGCAATGCTAGGTGGAGTAATCGCAGAGTAGCCAAGCACGGCCACAGAGTGGCCCCAGGCCCCCTGAGCACTGCTTGGAGTAAAAGAATTTTCAGATACAATATCACCTACACAAGGGTCAGGAATACCGAGCTTCCTCCTATGGAGAAGTCAGACATTGCCCTTTCTCCAATCACTTCATGTCTGGTTGAGGTCATTCTGCCTTCTCCTTCCTTCTTTTTCTTTTTGTAATTGAATCGCAGTGAGCTACACAGTTACAAAGTTGTTATATATGTTCTATACATTATTTTACATGTCGTTGTTATATGTCATTATATATACTGTTATAATATTCCAATACCTGTCCCTTCACCAGTGTACATTTCCCACCACCAACGTCCCCAGTCTCCTCCCAGTCTCCTCCTTCCTCCCATGGCAAGTCTCTCTTCTCTCTTCTCTCCTCTCCTCTCTGTCTCTCTCTGTCTTATGGATTGCAACACAGATACTGAAAGGTTATCAGGTATATCCCTTTACCTACGTTGAACACACTCAGTTCTCCTTCCTTCTTATCTGCATTTAAACGTGTGTTCAATAAGCGACAGCAACCTCCCCTGGAAGGGGATGGCAGTCAGGGGGGGCCGCGGGATCTCTGCCAGGCTCCTAGCATGTCCAGGTGAGACCAGCGGGCCTGGAATTGGCCACTGAACACCAAAAGCAAATGAAAGACACCCGTTGTTACTTGGGACGTTACTTCCCAAGTACTAAGGCAGCCCCACCCGGTCTGCAAGCCCCGTCCTCCCCGCGATTTCGCGGGCACAGACGTCACTCCCAGCTTGTGCCGGGCTGGGTTTCCTGGGTCTTCCGTTTGGGTCAGGTACTGGTTCGCCTCAAGGCGGGCGGAACGGTGAGACCAGAGTCTCACCAGGGTCGTGGCCGCGGCCCTGAGAGTGCGCCCCGGAGCCCTGACGTTTCTAGCGATGCTGCTAGCATTGTCACGGCCGCTGGCTGCAAGGGCAAAGAAACTGCAGGGAGAGAATCGGGACCCCCGCGAGGATGGCATATGCGGTACTGCGGGGCTCCGTCCGTCCGGACAGCCTCCGGGATTCGGCGGTACCTGGCGCAGCGCCTCCGCCCTGGCGGCCCGAGCCTGCTCCTTCCGCTCCGCGATGCTCCTCTCACTTTCAAACCGGCCGCTGGCGGCCGCCATGCTTATTGTCGTCGTAAAGCAAGGCAGCCGTCAGGCACTCGGGCTACGAGGGTCGTAATAAAATAAACAACGCGCGACTTCCGGCCAGGGGGCGGAGCCGCGCCCCGTCGAGGGAGCATGCGCAGGCCTCGGGGTTCCCAGGGCTCTGGGGTTCCCGGGTTGGATGCTGGAGGGAGCGGCCGCTCGGCTCTTCTACAAAGGCTCGGGCGGATTGACTGCTGGTCTGCATTTACGACGCGCTTTGCGTGATGCTAACGAGGCTTTCCCCCCATCTGTTTCCTCTTGCAGTTATCCAAAGTGAAATCTGTCTCTCCCAAAGTTCCCCACCCAGTTTAGCCAGTGTCCCTATGCTGGAGGCAGCTGGAGGGACGGAGGTCAGGAAGTCCGTGCCAGAGAGTAAGACGTGCAGAATTGCTTTGAAGAATCTCTTTGGGGTTGATTTGGTTTGGTTTGGTTTGGGGCCCATACCCGACCATGCTCAGGGTTTACACCTGGCACCGCGCGCTCAGGAGTGCTCCTGGCTTTTTTTTTTTTCCTTTTTTGCGGGGGTCACACCCTGTGGTCCTCGGGGGTGACCCTGGCTCTGCATTAGGAATAACTCCTGGAGTTCCTGGAGCGCCCAACAAGCCAGTCACTATTGTGCCGGCCCCCTGGCTTATTTTTATATGGTGGGATTTCTTTCTAACTTTTAAGTATAAAAAAAGGTTTTTCAGAGTTCCTTGAAGAGAATGTTCTGTAGCTGCTATTTTCCTGTCACATCCTTCCTCCCCATGATCCATCTGCCTGACCGGTCTTCTCAAATCTGGTTCTCCCTCCACTAGGATTAAGACAAAACTGGATTCTAAGGCTGAGCTGATCCTGAGGGCTCGGCTGGGAGGGAGCTCTGGACTTTCCCGAGTCCACTGTCCTGTCCTGGCTGGCTCCTTGCTTGTATTATTTCCGTCCTCTTCTGAAGATCTACCTGTATGACTCAGGTTCCTACCAGATCAGCAAGAATCCCCATGGTCTGGCTTGGATCCCTTGAAAACTGACACTGAATCATTAAGGCAGAACTGGTTTTCAACTTCTGATCCCAGTGACTGAAGATCCTTGTGCCTCTGTGGAAGCACTGTTCATTTCTCCAAGGCCCTGCTCAGTTATCTGTGCCCTGCACTTGGTAGCACTAGAGTGGAGCCCTCCACCCCAGCAGCTCTGCGGCGCCACTATGTGGCCGGGCAGGTTAGAACCAGGCGTGGCTAAGCCTACAGGGAGCCAGTTTTCAGTATTATGAATAAGGAAAGCAAGAAAACAAGAACTATTTTCTCATGCTTCGTGATTTAAGTAACAATCAACTCTTAATTGCCCGTAGTAACCAGTGCATGTTTCTATAGAGCACTGTCCTAAAGTCACAGATGCTTTGGATCACAGTTATTTTCCCCAGCAGCAGAAGTACTCTGCTAGCTATGCTGTGCGCATGTAATTGGATTAAAATGAGCCTGCTTCCCGGGAGAGCTGTGCCTTATAATCAGAGCAGGAGACATCACAGAAGCCTGGGCCGTGTCAGGAGCCAGTCAGTCTTGGCTTAGACATCCGGACGTCACCTAACAAGATGATCTGGTGGGACTGGAGGGGGAAGAAAGGAATGGGCACAGAATCTGTAGAAGTTATGCTGACCAGACCGGGAGAAAATTCTAGGCAGAAAGGGGGAAAATGAGAAAATACATTAATCCAAAGACAACTTTTGAGGATCAAAAGTTTAAGGAGCAAGCACAGATCTTTGCTTCAGAGAAAATAATTTTATACTAAAATGTTCACTGAAGCTTTGAAGTCTGGGTAAGAGGAGGAAGAGAGGAAGCAGGGAGGGAAGGGTCCTACTTACTGAGGGTTGTCCATGCCAAGAAAGATGAGGAAGAAGGAATGTAATGAACTCTTTCAGCACTTGCAACAGCCCTTCAAGGAAACAGCTTAATGCTTCCGTATCTTATAGGTGGGCAATGCTGAGGGGTGATGTCAGAATCTAAAGTCGTGTCACTTCAACCACAAAATTACTACCTACCATGTACTCTCCACTGCCTTAATAGGAGAAAAGTGTGCTAAGCATAACTTTAATTGAATATGAAGAATGAAAAAGCGTTTCTTACAATGAACGCCCCTGTAAGAACGCTTACAATAAGCGTTTCTTACAGGGGCCACTCCAGCCTCTTTATCTTGGACAAAGATGATCTGAGTACAAAACGGAATTTAGGGGTAGACAGTAGACAACACATTTCAATTTAGGGCCAGTAAAATAGCTCAAAGGGCTGCTAGACGTGATTTGCATGAAGACCCGTGTTCAGTCCCCAAGCACTGCCAGGGTAACCCAGAGCATTGAGCTGGGAGTAGCCCCCAAGAACCACTAGGTCAAATCTATTCAGATTCATATTTTGATCCCTACTTTAGTCCAGTCCTGGTTTGCTTAGAAGAACAACTGCTAGAGGTCAAAATTATGACCTGGGCCTGGGTATCTCCTGAAACCTGAGATATAGTTGGAAAGAGTTACAGCAGAAGTAACCATTCTTTTCTATTAGGACGTACAAGTGCCAGCCAGGAGCCCAAAGCCCAGCTGCCTGGGAAGGAGTCGGGGGACCCAGTGCGCCTCCTCAGACAGGTGACAGCAGTCTCCTTTGAGAAAAACTGCTCTGAGGGATGCTGCACCATGAGATGGCAAGTGGCCATGTTGAGGGCATCTGGCCCACGGAAGAATGGTGCTTTCCACAAGAGCGTTGATTTTATCTAAAAGTAAAACCCTTCCATCATTTTGTTGTTTGGTTGTTAGCATTTGAGCCACACCTGGCAGTGCTCAGGGGCCACTCCAGGCCTGGTGCTTGAACCATTTAGTGGCAGGAAACAAACCCAGGCCTCCAGCCCCAAAGAAGGAACTCCAGCCTTTGTGCTGACATCTTAGTGGCCCACTAGTCTTGAAGAACCAAACGGCACATTTCTTCCCTGTAAGTGATATATTAATAGCCACAGGCAAACCTTTTTGTTTGGTTTTGTTCGGGGGCTGGGAGCCACACCCAGTTGCACTCTGGGATTGCTCCTGACTCTGTGCTCAGGGCTCACTCTGGCAGTGCTCAGAGGGCCACAGGTGGTGTGGGGGATTCCAACGAGGATTCGCCCCAGGCCTGGCCCCGCACCCTCGTCAGTGCTTCTGCAGCACCACGCACCAGTTCCCCTGGTCGTAGTAGCTCCGCAGAAGGCTGGCGTCATGCAGAGCCCGACAGGCACCTTCCAGCTCACCCTCCCGGAACACGTGGTAGAAGCGATGGAGCACTGGCCCCGGGGATCCGGGTGCCGCGAACCCCGAGTCTTTGCCGGAGCTTCCCTTGAGGTGCCAGGGAACCAGCAGGTCTTGGGAATGGAAGGAGGTCCTATTCATGTGGACTGGCAGTCTGGGGGGCATGGCCATCCTGGCGGGGCCGCTGTCCGAGGGCTCAGAGCAGGTTGGGTGCCCCTTGTCCACCCCAGTTGCCTGTTCCGAGGCACCATCTTGGGGCCTCTCTTCTCCAAGGCCAGCTCCACTTCCTTTTAGATACTTGGACTTCTTACTGTCGTGCTCTTGTTCCATTGCCCAGACAGACACCAGTGCTGTCCCCCGAGGTCTCAGCAGTCGGACAAGCTCCTGAAGAGCCGCCACTCTCCTCTCCTAGGACAAGAGGAAAAGGTGGTGACAGCCACTGGGCAGAGAAGCAGGAAAAGACAATTGGGCAGGGCTGCTGGATGCCCTGGGAAATCTCAGGTAAAGGAAAAGAGGAAAAAAGGAGAGCAGAGGGCCAGAGGGATGGTACGTTGGATAGGCACATGCTTTGCACATGGCTGAGCCGTGTTGTATTCCTGACACCCCATATGGTCCCCTGAGCCCCACCAGGAGTGATTCTGGAATGCAGAGCCAGGAAGTAAACCCTGAGAATCACTTGGTGTGGCCCAAAAACCCAAAAATAAAGAATAAATTAAAACAACATTGGAAAAAAAAAGGAAGCAGAGGGCCAGAGAGATGGTACAGTGGTTAGGGACCTTGCCTTGGATACGGCCAATGGAGGTTCAATCCTGGGCACCTTATATGGTTCCCCAAACCGCAACAGGAAACAGCAGAGTCAGGAATAAGCCCTGAGCACTGCCAAGTGTGGCTCAATAACTTAGTGGGGGTGTGGATGAAGGCACTTCCGGTTTACTATCTCTTCCCACACTACCCCAACATATTGATTATAAATTCATTTACATATCTTGATTATATTTGTTATTTGACTATCTGGGCTAGAGCGATAGCACAGCGGTAGAGCATTTGCCTTACAAGCAGCCAACATGGCCAACCCGAGTTCAATTCCTCCTCCCCTCTTGGTGAACCCAGCAAGCTACCGAGAGTATCTCGCCCGCACGGCAGAGCCTGGCAAGCTCCCCATGATGTATTCGATATGCCAAACACAGTAACAACAAGTCTCACGATGGAGACGTTACTGGGCCCGCTTGAAAAAATTCGATGAACAACGGGAGGACCGTGACCGTGATCTGACTATCTACACCCCCTCTTAAAAACTGGGGCACACTGTATGATAGCAAAAGAGAATGGAAAGAAAAGAGGTAAAATAAGGATCAAATCAGTAAAATTCATGAATATTTCCAGCATTCTAGATTCACAATCTTGTGCCTTTTTTTTTGGTTTGCTTTTTGTTCCGTTTTGGGGCCACACCTGGTGGGTTCACTCCCAGCCATGCCAGGGATCGTGCCCACGGCCTCAGGCACGCTCGGCAAGGAGCCACACCCCCAGCCCTTTCGCTCCAGATTCTGGGAGACAGGGCACACTTACTGCGGTCGCCAAGTGGTGAATAACGGCAATGGAGATGCAGGCGTCACAAGAGCCACTGCGGATCGGCACTGCCAGCGCGTCACAGACAAAGGCCTGGAACTGCCTCTCTCTACAGATGTCCACAAGACGGTGACTGCGATCACAGCCGATCTAGAACCAACAAAGGAGTTCAGGATGTCTTGTTCACCCATTGTGAGCAATGACAAGCATACCATAGGGGATAGAGCCCGTATTTGTGGTGAAGAGATCAGACATGATGATGTAACCCTCTCTCACAACCAGAACAACATCAGAATTCTGATTTACTGGACAGCATTTGTTACTTTACTCAAAACAGTGAACAGAAATGAAGCTTCTAGAATAAAAACGATTTTGGGAGAAAAGGGAAGTTCCAGCCATCATTTGATTGATCACACTGAATCATTTTTGGAATATGACACACTTAAAAAAGAAATCAGAGGCTGGGGCACAGGCCTTGTATGCAGAATGCCTGACTTTAAGTCCCAACACCCCTGACTTCAGCAAAAAAAGTGCCCAGAGCAACAGGACAGAGGGGGAGGGCTCTGGGCTTGCACGCAGACTACCTGCATCCCATATGCTCCCCTACCCCCTGAGCCCTGCCATGAGTATCCCTGATTGCAGTGTCAGGAGTTACCCCTTAGTATCACCGATGTGAACATCCACTTCTCACCCCGGTCCAAAAAAAAAAGAAATTTTCAGGAAAGAGAGTGAAGAGTGAATGGGGTTGACACCCAAGGACAGTAGAGACAAGGGCCAGAAATATTGCTCCATAGTTGGAAGCCTGCATCATGAACTGGGGGAGAAGGCAGCTGGAATAGAGAAGGGATCACTAAGTCACTGATGGTTGGAGGGATTGTTCTGGATGGGAGATATGTGCTGAAAGTAGACAAAGGACCAAACGTGACAGCCTCTCAGTATCTATATTGCAAACCATAATGCCCAAAAATAGAGAGAGTATGGGGGAAATTGTCTGCCATAGAGGCAGGGGGAGGACTGGGAAGGGGAAGAGATACTTGGGACATTGGTGGTGGAAAATCTGTACTGGTGGAGGGATGGGTGTTCAATCATGGTATGACTGAAATTCAAACATGAAAGCTTTGTAACTGTAGCTCAGTGATTCAATTAAAAAAAAAGCAGAAAAAAAAAAGGAAAGTGAATCGGCATGCTCACTAATTTTCTATCTGCTGCTCATCCTTTCCTTTGATGGCCTTTGTGGGGAGGGCCGGCTGCACAGACTCTGCTCGCTGGAGCCCAGGTTCTGTCCCCACCACACACACTCCCAAGAGCACTGCCAGGAGCACCCCCTGAGCATCGCTGAGTGTGCCCCCAAACCAGAACCACAGATTAACACTGTATCATGGAAATGGGAACAATAACGCTGACAAGGGGCCCAAAGGGAGCCAGGAGCCACAATGACTTGCCATAAATAACTCTGCATTGAGGCCGAGATACTTTCCATTTCCACAGCCAATATCTGCCACTAATGAACCAGCTGGCAAGGCTTTCAAAAACTCCACGATGCGTGGCCAGGGGGTATGCCGAGTGCTGCTGAAGTGCCCGGCAATCTCCTCGTAGACTCGATGGACATGGTCCCGCTCCAGCTGAAAGGCTTCCTTGTCACTCTCTGGGAACGAGGGGGCAGTGTCCGCCATCTGGCTGTCACAGGCCTGAGGGTACCCTACAGAAGAGACAAGGCAACATTCACCTTTCATTATTACCTGAATGATCCAGAAGGTATTATGTTTACTAAAATGAAAAAATTACACTGAGCCAGAGAGAGATTTGAACAGGTAAGACAGTTGCACTACAGAGCCAGACCCGAGTTCCATCTCTGAAACCACAGATGGACCTCCCAGTCCCACCATGACTGAGCACTGAGCATAGAGTCACAAGTGGCCCCAAACGCTGCTAGGCGTGGTCCCAGAAACAACCAGAAAAGCTCTCACCTAAGTGTGCGGGATGATATAAAAGAGGGCCCATGACCACGATTCTACACACCTAACCCTGAAGAGATGAGCTTCACCAGGGGGATTAAGTGTTCTCATAATAAGAAATCTTGGAATCTCGATGGCCATCAGTAACCATCAGGGAAATAGCCAAATTAACTTGTTTTAGGGTTTCCGCTTATAAAAGGAACGGGGAGTCCTAGGGGCCTTAGAGCTCTCAGAAGAAGGGTGGGACCTAGAAGCAAGATGTCATTTGTCTGTAATCACAAAGATTTAATGTACAGCATCTCTAGTTGTTTCTCTGGACTATGTTAAATCTCCTAGTCTGCAGATGAGACACCTGAAGCACAGAACATTGACCGTCTCAGTGACTGTGACTCACAGCGCCAAGATTGGGATCTGGGCAGTGGGAACCCCACAGCCTGCCCTGTTCATCCTACGCGCGCTGCCTCCTGCAGCGGAAGATGGCCAAGGCCACCAGTCCACAACGGCACGGATCAATGTGGAAGTTGTTCTCTATCCTTGGCAGGCTGTGAGACTTGGTGCAATCCTTCCGTGACTTCCACTCTTACAATTTTATGACTGCCCTTTATCCTAAGTCAAGGCTGGGACCCCCAACTCCTCATGGGCAGTGTTCTCAGTAATAAGGAAGGAGAAGTATTTCCACGGACATCACGAACAAGGTTAAGGTGGTCAGTGGAGATCTCGGGGTACTGAAGACTTGGGCCACAGCATCAGGCCTTCCGGAAATTTCCTAGAAGAAAACTGAAGGATGCCAACGGCTGGAAAAGCATGAAACAGGAGTGGAAGTGTAGTCTCTGCTAACACCCCTGGGCTGCTCTGAACACGGCCAGGGGACCTTTAAGAAGAGCGCATATGTATAAAGCTTAAGGGCATAAAATATCTGAGTGGAAAGAGGTGGGTTACATTATGTCGGCAAATCAGAAACAAAATTACGCTACAATTCACATTACTGTCACTGTCACTGTCCTCCCATTGTTCATCAATTTGCTTGAGCGGGTCCAGTAACGTCTCCATTGTGACAATTTGTTACTGTGTCTGGCATATCAAATATGTCACGGGGTAGCTTACCACAGTTGTCTTAATTGATCTTATCAAAAATTAATTCTCTTGAAAATCATGAACATACTAAACTCGCATGTTATCAAAGGCCAGAACAACCATAATTACTTAAAGTCCATAAGATCTGAGCAAAAGTATCCAAACAGTGGTCTGGAACTTTAAAAACCCTTGTAAACTTAATACACAATCAAAGTTACTTACAGCATCATTAATATTTGTTAATATCCATATAAAGAAATGTGCATAAGAAAACTAGTTTGCTCTACAAATAGATTTCCAAGTTCCCTGAACACAGAAGTCATGTTTTTTGTTTGTTTGTTTTTTTTGAGAGAAAACTTTTGAAGATTTATTGATATTTAAAAAGCCAGTGAGGCTGGAAAGTTAGTACAGTGGTTAAGGTACTTGCCCTGCATGTGGCCACTTTCTTTTCAGTCCCTGTCATCGTATATGGTCTTCCTGAGTACCTCCAGTAGAGATTCCTGAGCATTGGTGGATGGTGGCATTCCCCCCTGAGCCCCCAAAAAAACCCCAAAAACTCTATGAATTTGTCATATCCTGGTATACCTAATAAGTTAATTTCAATACTCCTGAGACATTCTTTGATGCTCTAATATTATTCCCAGGGTTTATTATGTTTTCTTTTTTCTTTTTTTTTTTCTTAAATTTTTATTAGTGAAACACCATGAGGTACAGTTGTAGACTTACAAACAGAAGTCATGTTTTTTGTTTTTTTTTGTTTTATTTTGTTTTGTTTTGCTTAGGGGCCACATCCAACAATGCTCAGGGACTACTCTTGGCTCAGTGCTCAGGGACTATGCAGTCCCAGGGGTGAAAGCCAGGACTCCACCACGCAAAACTGATGCTCCAGTACGTTGAGCACTTTCGTGGGCCTGAGATTCCTGATTTTCTAATAGGACAAAACCTTGTAGATATAATAAGATGTTTTAAAAAACATAAAATGTTTTATAATTATGATTAAATCCAAAAGACAAATACCACCCATAATTAAACCCCACAGATATAAAACAGATCTACCACTGCCATTATATTACTTATAGAACAGAAGTCTCTTTCCTCTTCGGTTTTGGGCTGTGACTCCTGGCAGTATTCAGAGGACCATGCAGTGCCCACCAGCAAGCGTCGCTCCCCCCGGGCAAACATGCATTGGAGCCCGTTGAACTCTGTTTATCTGTCCAGCTTTTCTTTTTTTCTTTTTTCAATTGAATCACCATGAGACACAGTTACAAACCTTTCATGTTTGAGTTTCAGTCATCCAATGATCGAACACCCATCCCTCCACCAGTGCAGATTTTCTACCACCAATGGTCCCTAGCATCCCCCCTCCCCCAACATCCCGCTCTTGACCCTCCCTCTATAGCAGACAATTTCCCCAATACTCTCTCTACTTTTGGACATTATAGTTTGCTCAAATTTTCCCACCACCATTCAAGCCTGCCTTTCAGGGGCAGATACTTGATCATTTATTTTCTATTGCTCACTTTGAATACGAGAGGCCCTGCGGCCGAGAGAGCCCCAGCGACCATGAGCTTCCACAAGCTAGGCCCTGGTCCAGACCCTGGTCCGGGGATTCCCAATTGAATCCCAAAATGGATTAGCACCCTACAGAGATGTCTCTGGACCCCAACCATTTACAATCTTAGATGTCCGGCCTTCTTTTCTGACTGCTTCTGGGGAGGACACATCCAGTGGTGCTGGGATGAGTTTAGGGACTCTGACATGCAAAGCAAGTGCCCTGGTCTGAAGGGAGGCGGGGGGGTTCATGGCAAGGGTTTTCGTCTTTTCCCTTTGAGGTTTCACAGTGGACTAAAACATACACTGCTGCTGAGTTATCGACCGACTGTAGAATAATTTGTCATCTCCAACTTTCCCCATGGGTTAATAAGAAGCAATTTAGAATCTTGCTGTTTCCAACAAAACCTATTTTTGTACAAGTAATAAATACTGCAACATCCTACCTTGTAACACTGAACTGTGACTTTAATAAATCAAATTCTTCCCCGGGTCAGTACCGGCTAGAAAGCTGGCACTGAGGGAAACACAGAGAGAAGATGCAGCCCCTGCCCCTGGGGGTGATCGACCCAATTGAGTCGGTACTGGGAAGAATAGCATGAGGCAGGTTACCAAAAACGCCACCAGGAAAGCTAAGACCAGTCTTTCCCCAGTCCTCTGAGAAGGGCCCTGAACACGGCTCCCAACCACTAACTCGATTTTACAAAAGAAACAAAGGTGTGTACTTACTACAGTCACAAGGCGTGCGCCTCACTTTCCGGAAGGTGAACGACATCCGTACCCCCCTCTTGCGTAAAGTCAAGTCTCCCGCATCACTCTGGATGATTCCGCCTGTGCGACCTGAGGAGGCTCGAACGGTATCGAATTTTCTAGGTGTGATTCTGAAGAATAAAGTCACAGTAATTTATTTTGCATGACATTCAGAAAAATATTTCAAATCCTTTTCAAGAATAAGGAAATAGGGGGGCTGGAGTGATAGCACAGCGGGTAGGGCATTTGCCTTGCACACGGCCAACCTGGGTTCGATTCCCAGCATCCCATATGGTCCCCTGAGCACTGCCAGGAGTAATTCCTAAGTGCAGAACCAGGAATAACCCCTGAGCATCACCGGGTGTGACCCAAAAAGCCAAAAAAAAAAAAAAATAGAATAAGGAAATAGACAAATCAAGAATTCATTGCAAGTATCTACTGGATTCCCTGAATTGTTAATAAGCACCGTAGAAAAATGAAAGAACTAGAAGACTTTTTGTCATACAACTAACACATTATTTAAGGGGGGAAAGGAAAAGAAATAAAGAAAATAAAGAATTTTTTTTTTTTAAGGAACAGATAGGACGAGAGGAAACAAATGGTGACTGAAATCCAGAACCAGTGATTAAGGTGAAAGGAGAAGGGGCTGGGGCAATAGCACAGTGAGCTGAGCACAAACTGCCCACCAGAGGCCCAGGGTCATGTCCAGGCCCACACAGCCTCCCAGGTACTACAACACATGCCTGCCCACACCCTCCACCCAGCCCAGCACAGAAATGGGAATAACCCCCTACTGTGTCAGGGTGATCCCCAAAACAAACCAACTAGGGACTCAGAGAGAAAGATGATCTGACTAGTCAAAAGTCAAATCCAGAATCTACTTATGTTCTGATTCCAGAGGATGTACCTTAAATTCATGCAAACTGAGGGAGAGTCTATAGAAAGGCAATTGGCTTCCTTAAAAATAGGTTTCTGGCAGATGATAAAGTTGTATAAAAGTGAACGCTCACAAATTATATAAAATTGGAAATGACTGACCAGGAGTCACACGGCTGGGTCATGGCAAGCACAGAAAAGGGTGTGTGTGCGGGGATTTAACCGGGAGAGCAGCAGGAGGCCCTTCTCAGGGAAGCCTACACTGACAGACGAGGCTCAAAGCACCTGCCTGCCGTGTGGACCTGGGTTCCATCCCCAGCACCACACAAAATAGGAAAACAAAAATATAACAAACACTTGCTCCAGAGCTGCATTATAGAGTCTGAGGGCTCACTTTGGGCTGCCTGTCATATTTGCCAGCCCCTGACAAAACATCTTTGTGTTTAAGGAACATTCAGTGAAGCCAGAAAGAGCCAAAAAGGGTTCTGCCTGTAACTTACCCCAAAATGACTCAGCAAAGATAATAACGTGAGAAAGAAATGAAGCATCAAAATGTTGACAACTGGTAGGCATGAATGAGGAGGCCTGGAGCATAGAACCACCATTTTGAGACGAAAGGAAAGAATAATTTTTTTAAGGGGCAATATGGGTGCAGATAAGCAAGTTAAACCTGTTCCAAGAAGAATTACAGAGACAGGATGTGGGCCTGGGACTCAGAAGAAAACACAAAAAATAAATCTCCCAAAACCAAAACCACCACAAGGCAGCATCTCTCTGGAGGACTGAAGAAGCAAGAGTTAAATGAGGAGGGAGAAAATGAGAAGAGGCCACGTGACTTACCAAAGGAGGGAGGCATGGGGCTGTGCCCTCAGCGCAGAAGGACATGGCGAGGCACCCACACTCCTCTGATGTCAACACACCCTTTTCTGTCTGTAATACCCTGGCAAACTCTTTCCTGAGCCCACCTACCCAATCTCAGCCCAACAGAGGATGCAAGGTTTCTACTTTCCAAAACTGAGGCCCGTGTACCTCTGAATACGCTATGCATAGATATCCATGAGGTATTTATTTGGAGGGGGCATGGTGGGATTTTCCTGGGTGGGAAGGAACGAGAATGCCGCCAGAGTCAAAGCTGGTTTTACGTACCCATGGGACCAAAGGTACCTCGCTTCTCCCCTCATCACTAGCAAACTCCGACGAGGCAACATGACAGGCACTGTGGCGCCATTAGGGTGCTTGAAATCCATGACGGTCTTGGAGTAAAGATAAGAAAAGAGCGACATCAATCTGAAATGTCATGTAAGAATGATTCATTGATTCTATCTTCATAAGTTAACGGAGATCAAGCCACAGTGATGCAGCCAGCACCAAGGTTCACAAACTCCTATGCACACAGAAATTAAGAGAACAAGGAACGCAGTTCCCCCATAGAGACTGAGACCCCAGATGTCTGGGCTGAGGCTCGAGAATTAACGCTTCAAACAGTTGGCCCAAGAAAAGTCTGCCACAAATGGGTTGCGGATCTTATATGATACTCAATGCCCTGGGGTCAGGGTCAAATGCAAGGACATGGGAGTTGAAGCATTCCAATTCTCTTCCACTCACTGACCATACAACCCAAGATGAGCCACTCAACCCCTCTGTACCTCAGTTCCCTCAACATTTCAGCACTGATCCTCAACACCTCAATAAGGTAAAAAAAAAAAAAAAGATAGATTTATAGAGTACAAACAGATATTTGATAAAGCAAACATTAAAATGCTGACAGCAGACTTAAAGAGATAGGTTACAGGTCCTTATTGTATGAGTTGACTCTTCTTATGAAAGATTAAATATTTATCCTATAAAGTTTTTCATATTAAATAAAATGCTCAGGAGAGGAAAGCCATTACATCATCCTCCTACCACTTTTTTCCCCCTTCTTGCACTGACAGGGATTGAACTTGGAGCCTCATACTGAAAAGGGGAAAAAAATGAACATGTACAAGGCCGTGGGTCCATCTCAACACTGCATGCCCCCCCCCATGTGGGCCTAGAAGCATGTATGCACCACATGCTACAGGACCCCATTTGGGGATCTAGCACCATGTGGCACCTGGAGCACTTCACCAGAGTAGCCCTTGAGGTGGGACTCAAAACCAAAACGAATGTAGAGAACACTTACCATTTGCTTGTTGGGGGTCATACCAGAGGTGCTCAGGGCTGACTTCTGGCAGGGTTTAGAGGACCATATGGAATGGCAGGGATCACACGTGGGTCAGTCACGCCCAAGCTCACACGCTATCCACTGCCTTATCTCTTCAGCCCAGATTTGTCAGAATAATAGACCTCCTCAGTTAGATCAGGCACCCCTATGTGCTCCATTTACATATTGGAGACCTGTAGCTAAGTGGTGGTCACACCATCACAGAATTCGGTTGTGCAGCACAAGGGTGATACAGCCTCACTATGGGGCCAGGGATGGTACCTAACTGGCCTCATGCAAGACAAGTAACGAATTCCTTTATACTATCTCTCTGGCCCAGAGATAATTTTTGAAGAAAGTACAACTTGAAGGAGCCAATGGGAATGACCATTTGATATTATGAATCTTAAAAAAAAGAAAAAATCAACCAGGGACCAGAGTGATACTACAGTGGGTGAGGTGCCTGCCTTGCACGCAGCCGACAGTTCAATCTTGGCATCCCAAATAGTTCCCAGGTCCCACCAAGAGTGATTTATAAATGCAGAGCCAGGACTAACCCCTGAAAATTTCTGGGTATGGCACCCAGATCGAAAAAATTTCACATAAAAATAAAACCAAGTTTGTTCAAGCAGACTGCTCATAGTTTGAGGCCCAAGCCCCTGCAACACTAATAAAGTTCATTTCAGCATTTGCTTGGCAGCTAATAAAATTGAGGATGTCTAAGAATAAAGTTTGGAACAGACTTTATTCTTTGCCTGATCAAAAAAAACCCCCGTTTTTAATGTATATTTTCTATGAAAGTTAGAGTTTTCTTATAATATTCTATTATGAACATAAAGTATTGCTGTGAAAAATAAGAATAATAAAAATAAAGCCTGCACCGGGACACATTCAGTCCCTACTCCTATTCCCGAGGACAGAAGGGGTGAAGGGATGAGAAGGACGCGCCCCCTGTCCCCCTCCACTCTCCCATTCCAGGTAGAGGGTGCGGTGGCGCCAGGCTGGCCTGGTGGGCCCTCCCTTTCTTGTGTCCAGCCACTCGCAGACCCTCATCAGGGAGAGCTTTGGCGGCCCATGCCAACAGCAGCAGCTGATTCAGTTCAGGGGTGATATCCATGTGATGATAACCTCAATCCAGAGGACATGTGGCAAGCTGGCGCCTTGCTTCTCCCTCTACCCGTGGTCCCACATCTGCACGGGTTGCACAACAGGCAGGAAAAGACAAAAACAGTCTTACCGCCCGGTTACGAGTCAGAGTAAGGTCAAATGGAAATAACTCAGGAGAGCCCTTTATTTTTCCTCCCCATCTTCCTGTGCTTTTTCTTTTTTGTTGTGTGGGTTTTCTGGAGGGGGGGCGGGAGTTGTGCCACACCCAGCTATGCTAAGGGCTCTTCACTCAGGAATCACTCCTGGCAGTGCTTGGGGGATGCTATGAGATGCCGGGATCAAACCTTAATCAGCCATGTGTGCGAGACTCCACATAGCGGGTCCATGCCATGACAAGAGGGTCTTATCATAGTTCACAAACAGCTCTGACTCCCCTGTCACAGCGTGACCTAGGGGCTCCCAGAAGCTCACATGGCATGGCAGTGAAGGTGCAGCAGAGGAAAATACAAAAATGCATGTATGCGCATGTGTGTGTATGTGTGTGTGTCTTTGTGTGTGTGTTTTTGTGTTTGTATGTGTGTTTATATGTTTTTGTGTATGTGTGTGTTTTTTGTATGTATCTGTGTGCATGTGTTTGTGTCTGTATGTATGTTTGTGTATGTGTGTATGTGTATGTATGTTTGTATATGTATATATGTGTCTGTATGTGTGTGTTTGTATATGTGTATATGTGTTTGTGTATGTGTGTATGTATGTTTGTGCATGTGTTCATGTGTATGCATGTTTTTGTGTATGTGTTTGTATATGTGTATGTGTATATATGTTTGTATATGTGTGTATGTATGTGTTTGCGTATGTGTGTATGTGTTTATGTGTATGTATGTGTTTGTGTATGTGTGTATGTGTTTATGTGTATGGATGTGTTTGTGTATGTGTATGTATGTGTATGTGTGTTTGCATATGTGTGATGGGTATGTGTGTGTGTGTGTCTGTGTGTGTATGTATGTTTGCATATGTATATATGTGTCTGTATGTGTGTGTGTTTGTATATGTGTATGTGTATGTGTGTATGTATGCATTTGTGCATGTGTTCATGTGTATGCATGTTTTTGTGTATGTGTTTGTGTATGTGTGTATGTATGTGTTTGTGTATGTGTGTATGTATGTGTTTGTGTATGTGTGTATGTGTTTATGTGTATGCATGTGTTTGTGTATGTGTGTATGTTTGTATGTGTATGTGTGTTTGTATATGTGTGATGGGTATGTGTGTGTGTGTGTAGATGTGTTACTTGCCCAACAACATTATTAACATGCTTCGCATCGAGATTCTCAAAGGTGCCTGCCAACAGGTACGAGTGGTTCTGGCAGCACAAACCCATCCGGGGGGACTTAAGAGAAAAGTCCTGCTTTGATTTCTTAGGATGTGTGTTATTCTCACACGTTCTGAGCTGTGTGTGCATGCATGCATCAGAGCATACATGCAATTCCAGGAACCAATCGGATTCTGAAATGACCGCTCAGGAGATGACACAACCTCAAGTGACAGCAGTCTGCATCGCGTCCCTTTCCTCAGGCCTCGTTAGCAGCTCGAGTGCAGCTAGAGAAACACTCCAATGAACTGATATGAACTGGTATTTCCTCCATCTGTAACAATGAGCATACTCCCCGCTAGTGCTCCTAGCTTAAGAAGGACTAAATTAGGTAATGGATGTAAAAAGTTTGTCAAAATCCTTGAGTCTAAAACAAAACACACAATACTGGATGGTCCTGCTGTCCATAGAGCAAAAAGAAACAAAGCCAGGGCCGGACCATGCCAAAGGAACACAGTGCTGGACTGGCACCGGCGGAACTGAGGCCCAACCCCCACACAAGAGACTAAATCTGGTAGCACTGTAGTCCCCTTGTTCATGGATTTGCTCGAGCGGGCCCAGTAACGTCTCCATTGTGAGACTTGTTGTTACTGTGTTTGGCATATTGAATAAGTCACAGGGAGCTTGCCAGGCTTTGCCGTGCAGATGAGATACTCTCGGTAGCTTGCTGGGCTCTCCGAAAGGGGCAGAGGAATCGAACCCGGGTTGGCCTGGCCGGCCACGTGCAAGGCAAACGCCCTACTGCTGTGCTATCGCTCCAGTGCACCACAAAGAGAAAATGAAAAAATTAAAAAGTCAACTGTCACTGTCACTGTCCTCCCGTTGTTCATCGATTTGCTCGAGTATGCCCAGTAACGTCTCCATTGTGAGACTTGAAATCTGGTGAAAAAAAAAAAAAACAGGTATGCTGGACCAGTGACTGAAAACACAGACCACAATGGGGTGGGGACACTGGGCCAGCCTTCCCATCTCCCCGCCCTTCCAGGGTCCTGGCTGTCATGCCCAAACTACCTCCAGGTGCCATTTAAGCACATTAACAGCCATTGACCCAGAGACTCACAAATAAATCTCAGAACCGAGCAGCTCACTGCAGGGATGGCTTCGGACCCCAGTTATTTAAATTTTTATGATCCCAGGAGTGCATGGCTACTTTTGAAGCCGGGCAGTATCTCATACTTTTCTGTTGTTGTTGAATTACTGTGAGACAGACCTTTAAGACATCTTAAACTATTCATAACAAGCAATAGAGAATAAATTATCTAGCATTTGCCAGTGGGGCAGGCTTGAGTGGTGGTGGGAAACTTTGAAATAATGGTGGTGAGAAAGTATAATGGTGATGGGATTGGTGTTGAAATATTGAATGTAATCAATTATTGTGAACAACTTTATGAAAATAAAATTTAATTTTTTTTTTAAAGAGGCACAAGGCTACCACATATATACATATACTGGGGGGAGGAGCCTTTGAGTCAATGGTGGTGTAAGAGTGAGGGGAGGTTAATGTGAACTGTAAGCATAAAACAGTACTATTAATACCACAGGGGCTGGAGCAATAGCATAGTGGGTTGGGTGTTTGCCTTGCACACAGCCGACCTGGTCGGCCCAGGTTCGATTCCTCCGCTCCTCTCGGAGAGCCCGGCAAGCTACCGAGAGAATCTCACCCAAACAGCAAAGCCTGGCCAGCTCCCTGTGACATATTCGATATGCCAAACACAGTAACAATAAGTCTCACAATGGAAACGTTACTGGGCCCGCTCGAGCAAATTGATGAACAACGGGAGGACAGTGCTACAGTGCTACATTAATACCATGGTAGGCCATGATACTTCAAATAACAGAGATAAAATTAAATCTATTTGCGGCCTTAGGGCTGCCAAAGAAAAGCCACAAACTAAATAAATAAATAAATAAATGGAGACGTTACTGGGCCCACTCGAGCAAATCGATGAACAGCGGGAGGACAGTGTTACAGTGCTACATTAATACCATGGTAGGCCATGATACCTCAAATAACAGCGATAAAATTAAATCTATTTGCAGCCTTAGGGCTGCCAAAGAAAAGCCACAAACTAAATAAATTAAATAAATAAATAAATAAATAAATAAATGTTCCAGCCTGCAATTACTACCTCTTGCCACCAGATGGCAATACCACATCAAGCCACACGCTGGATCAGGGAAGTCTGGGGTTTACTAACTTCTAAAAGTGAAATGTGGGGGGAAAAAAATTAATTATAGAGGTTTTTCTGGTGTCTATAAAGCTGACACATTTGGAAATTCTGATAGCCTATAAGGGGAAATTGTACCTTAATTTGCTCTTCATTTTAAACTTCTAATTCATTTGAATGAAAAATTGTGGGAGTTTGGGGCCAGAGCGACAGGACAATGGGAGGGCACTTGCCGTGTACTTGGCTGACCCAAGTCTGATCCCCACATATCCCATATGGTCCCCGGAGCACCACTAATTCCTGAGTGGAGAGCCAAGAGTAACCCCTGAGCACCGCCAGGTATGGCCCCAAATGCCAAAATGAAAAAACCCAAAACAACTGTGGGAGGGCCCAGGGCTATGACGCAGTGTGAGAGCCTGGCTTTCACAGGCGAGACCTTCGGTCCAACCCCCACACTACCTCAGGTTTCACCATCTGTGAACATCCAGCAGGTACAGCCATACACACACACACACACACACACACACACACACACAGGGCGGTGCCAAGGACAAGGGCCTTGTGTAAGGTAGAACATCTGCTGAGTGCTTATAAGAATGGGTAAACATTTACCTCCGAGCCCAGGCTGAGAGAAATGATCTCATCCTCAAAAGCAGAATGTGTGTCCACATGAGGCGGGATCCCTGAGGGGAGACAAGACAACACGTCACTCACTACCTCTCATCAACTCCCCTTGCGTCCGAATATCACATCGTGACACATGGTTAGTCGGGAGATTCATAATCGGAGCGAAAAGGAAAGATCGGATATGCACGTGATAAAGTTAAATGAATCAAAATTAAAGTCTCTGAAATAAATACTGAGCCAGAGTATTTATCCCCGCCCAGCCGGAACCAAGAGGAAGATGTAAAAAACAACTTATTCCCTGGAATTCTGTGTCTGGAGAATAAACATATTAATAGTAGGGTGGGGTGTCGGGGGATGGCGGGAGAGAAACAGGGGACACTGATGGTGGGAAATGTACACAAGAGGAGAGATGGGTCCTGGATCATTGTATGACTGAAACCTAATCATGAACAGCTTTGTTTACAGATATTCAATTAAAAATTTTTAAAAAGTAATGTGGAGTTCATGCCCAATTCAATCAGCTTACTCAATGGCTGAATAAATAGGAGTACTGCTACATTAAAATAAATTTTTAAAAAAGAAAATATTAATACACAAGGTTTAATCTGTAACATGAGCAATTATCACAATCACAACACAACCATTCTGTTATTTGTCGATTGCCTCGAGCAGGCCACAGTAACATCTCCTTCGTCCTAGCCCTGAGATTTTTTTTTTTTAAAGTGCCATATTCCAGGCTCTTTCAGAGTTAGGAGAATGAGACCCTTCATTGTTACTGGTATTTGGCATATTGGGTACGCCACGGGGAGTTTGCCAGACTCTGCCGTGTGGGCAGGTTACATTCGGTAGCCTACCAGTTTGTCCAAAATGAGCAATTATGAGTTGCGATAAATGCAAAAATACCGACAACTCTTGCAACTAATAAAACCTTTACGATTAGGTAAAAATACTACTAAGTGAAAAATATCAATAATCTAAAGATTTTTTTACAAACATGTCACCCTAGAACTGTCCTCCATATATTTTTTTTTCTGATTTTTGAGCCACACCGAGGTACTTAGGACTTACTCCTGGCTCTGCATCCGTGATCACTCCTGGCAAGGTTCAGGGGACTAATCATACGTGGTACCAGGGATCGAACCCGAGTCAGCCACATGCTCTACCCTCCCTACTATAGCTCTGGCCTGGTTTCTACCTTCACAGTCACAGTCCTCCCGTTGTTCACCGACTTGCTCGAGCGGGCCCAGTAACATCTCCATCATGAGACTTGTTACTGTGTTTGGCATATCGAATGCGTCACGGGGAGCTTGCCAGGCTCTGCCGTGCGGGCGAGATACTCTCGGTAGCTTGCCGGGCTCTCCGAGGAAAAGATCATGTAACTAATTTCCTTTGCTGTAGTTGTATATTATGAGTTTCTTTCATTTATGTTTTTGAAGCAGCTTTCTTCCTAGAGTAAAACACCAAAAAATATTCACAAGAGAATACTACCAGTCTGGTTGTCCTTACTCTGATAGATTTGCAAAGAACTAAAACACACAGGTAACAAGCATATTAGGCTAAGAGTCTGAGTTAAAGAGTAACATCTTTGATCTTAGGGCACTACATATTCTATTTAGTTATGAAACACACATGACAAGAATTTCTTTTAAAGAAATACGCACCATGTCCAGGTTCATACTGGTTTACAGTTAACTGATCTGGTTTGTAGATAATGAAACCTTCCTTCAACCATGCCTCCAAAATGCTATCACAAGGGTCAGGAAGACCTGAAGTTATTAATTACAAAGATAAAAGCATTAAAATTCTTACTTAGCCTGTTTTTCATTATAATTAAACAAAAAGTCACTGTGATGAAAATCAGTTTATCATTTAGCAGACATAAATATAAAAAGTCACATGAAAACCAAGAGGAAACATTCTTACGAAGTTCACAAAGGCAGAGTATTATCAAGAGTGGACCCTGACTCCCCTGAATCCTTTTTGCCGTACTGAGGGGCCGCACCCAGGTGCTGGGGCACCACTCACAGGTCTGTGCTAGGAGTTTGCTCCAGTGGGACCTAGCACAGCAGAGGCTGTGCAGAGGCTCAAAGCATGTGCTCAGCCCTAGGAACCATCTCCCTGGCTTCGCTGGCCCCGAGTCTCACCAAGCTATTGCACAGATTTTTTTTGCTTTGCTTTGTTTTGTGGGTGACACTTGGCAGTACTGGAGGTTTTTTCTGACAGTGCTCAGGGACCATGAAGTGCCATGGATTAAGTCCCTAGGTCCAGCACACACAGCATGCACCCCAGTCCCTCAAGCAACCGGCCTGACCCCCATTTCAATGATTTTACCAAATAAGATGCTTTTCAAAAGGGCAATGCTGATAATTTTAGTACCTTGCAAAATAGCAGTTAAATTATAAAATTTGTATCTGATAGGCCAAAAACAGTAATGACAAGTCTCACAATGGAGCCGTTATTGGTGCCCGCTTGAGCAAATCGATGAACGGGAGGGCAGTGCTACAGTGCCACTACAGCATGTAGGGAAATTAGCAAATAAAGAAAAAAATTTTCTTTTTCTTGTTTTGAATAATTTTAAAAACACACTTTCATGCTGGAGAGGTAGTCTCGGGGTATGATGCCTGACCTGCAGGGGGCCCACCCAGGTATGCCTGCCTTGGTACCACACATGGTTCCCTGAGCACCACCAGAAAAAAGTCCCAAGCACCACCCGATGTGCCCCCACCCTGCCCAAAAGAAAGAAACAAAGAAACCCCACACTTCTCAAAGCAGAACTAATTTTTAGTGGACTCATAAATGTTATGAGGAGATCAAAGTCATAAAAATAAAGATAAACTTGACTCCAACAAAGAATTAAATTCAAAATACACACAAAATACATACTATACTGTCAGTGTCCTCCCGTTGTTCATCGATTTGATCGAGCGGGCCCAGTAACGTCTCCATTTTTTTGAGACTTGTTGTTACTGTGTTTGGCATATGGAATACATCACGGGTAGCTTGCCAGGCTCTGCCGCGAGGGTGAGATACTCTTGGTAGCTTGCCGGGCTCTCCGAGAAGGGCGGAGGAATTGAACCCAGCTTGGCTGAGTTAAAGAGTAACATCTTTGATCTTAGGGCACTACATATTCTATTTAGTTATGAAACACACATGACAAGAATTTCTTTTAAAGAAATACGCACCATGTCCAGGTTCATACTGGTTTACAGTTAACTGATCTGGTTTGTAGATAATGAAACCTTCCTTCAACCATGCCTCCAAAATGCTATCACAAGGGTCAGGAAGACCTGAAGTTATTAAGTCCAGCTTGGCTGGACTGACTGCGCGCAAGGCAAATTGCCTTACCGCTGTGCTATCGCTCCAGCCCTACATACTATACTATACATAAAAAATACATATATACTGTGAATATGTATATATATTTTTTTCCAATTAGGCAATCCTTTCCAAAAAAAAATGGCAGATTCAAAAAAGAAATTCATTCACAGAAAAGTAAGCACAATCTCAAGTCTGTGCAACTCTATGCGGGGAAGTGAAAGGGTGGCACGTACTTGGTGAGAATGTGCGGGTGATCTCTTAGTATCTATCAAACATTTAAATGAACACAACTTTGACCTAACAAGTGGACAGCTTAGAAGAATCCTCTCTTGGGAAGCTTCCATCAGGCTCCAGGAAGGCAGGAGTGTAAAGATGTGCACTGCAAAATTTCTCTAAAGCCTGAAAATTCGAAATGAGCAAAATGCCAGCTTTAAGGGAACCAACATAAAGGAGAAACCAACACCATGAAAAATGACAAAGGTAGTCAAGACGGGGCTAGTGCGCATGCTCAGCGTGCGAGGACGGCTGGGTTTCGTCAAACCCTGCCCCGGTCTCCCCGAACACTGCCGGGCAACTGAGCTATGCAGCTCAGATACACCCAGGTATAGGCCAAATCAAACCACACTAAGAAAAGTATCCTGAAAGGAAGCAAGCAAGCTGGACTGATGGACTGATACATGTGCTATGTGATCATGGAATTTATAACATGTCATATAATACATGTTTAAAACAACAAGCTTTTCTGGATATCTCCCCTTCGCATAAGCTCATTTTTAAAGACTTGGAAAATATGTACTAAATTGTTAACAGTAATACTTCTGAAAAGCACAGGAGCAAAAGATAGTATTCAAAAGGGGCTTTAGCTTAGATCTGTATATAAATTTTTTTACATTTCAAACAACACTATGAACTGAAAGTGTTTTAAATTTAAACAACTGTTTCAAACCTTTCCCTCCAACTGGCAAATAAAGCATGCATTTTTCTAATAAATCAATTTTTTTCTGGACCCTCACATATCATTTGTTAACAATTCTTACCCCCAGGTAATGGCTCATCTTTGTTCACATTGTTGTTCTCATAGTGAAATTCATAACCAAAATGCTTCACTCGCCTGTGTTTTAAGGATTTCTGAACTGTGCAAAGAGAAGAAAGCAAAGTATTTAGCAAAATACTTTCATCTAGTTCCATGTCAATACTGCAGGTAATAATCAGGAGAGCAAAGGTAAGTTTTGTTAATTGATAGATTAGTGTCTAATTAGTCCCGGGAGAGCACAAGGCAGAGTCTCCTACCCTGTGTCTGACTATCCTCGCCAGGGCCCAACAGCTGAAGACTTCCAGGCCCCAACCAAGGCCTTACTGGAGCCACTCTCCACACACTTGGATAAGCCTCAGACATAACCGAACTGGCAGAGGAACCCAGGTGTGTGGGACCCGGGACTGAGATCTCTAAGCCTGCACGGTTTGGGACTGGACCTGTCAGTAGCTAAACAGTTACACCCTCCAACTGCCGTGTAACCCCAACAAAGGCCAGGATCCAAAGATTATCACAACAAGCTCCCGGGAGCGCGCGGCCGCATTCGCGGCCGCGCGACTATTTATTTAATAATTTTCCGGATACCTTAAATATCCTTAAATATCCAACCCACACGGCAGAGCCTGGCAAGCTATCCGTGATCTATGCCAAATAGACCAAATTGATATGCCAAATCCAGTAATAAATGGATCTCATTCCCCTAGCCCTGATTATGCAGAGTCGAGAAGGATATGGAAGGAGAAGCTGATAAAACACCAAGGCAGACATGGGCTGCCAAAACGCAGAAAAACAAAAATGATTGTCTGTACTTTTAATGCTCGTACGCTGGCATCTGCTGCATCCATTGAAGACCTTATGGTACAAGCACGAAAGATCAAGTACGACATCATTGGTCTGACCGAAACGAGAAGACATCAATCCCATCATGCTGTTTTCGACACTGGAGAAGAACTGTTCCTTGGAACATGTGATAAAAGAGGCGTCGGTGGTGTCGGTATCCTTGTCAACACAAACTTAGTCACAAGCATTGATTCATTTGAATGCCTAACAACCCGAATCGGACGATTACACTTGAATAAATGTGGCTCACTACCGGCAGTTTCTATCTTTGTTGTCTACGCACCAACATCCAGTTATGGTGAAAAAGAAACTGAGAAATTCTACATGGAGCTGGAGAAATTCTATAAAGAAGATCACACCTTCTACAAGATCATTGTTGGTGATTTTAATGCCAAGATAGGACCAAGAAGATCAGTCGATGAACTCCACATCGGAACCCATGGCCTGGAATGGAACGAACAAGGTGACAGACTGTCTGAGTTCATCATGTCAACCAAAACCTTCCATGGTAACTCACAATTCCAAAAGGCTGAATCTAAACGTTGGACATGGGAGTCTCCCGATGGACGGTTCCACAATGAAATAGACCACATCATATTCAATCGGCGGTTTTGCCTAACTGATGTTGCTGTTGTCCCAAAATTCCAAACGGGATCAGACCACCGTCTTCTTCGTGCAAAATTCTACCTCACAGAACGAGGAGAAAAGAATGCAAGGTTTAAGAAGAAGACTCCCAGAACAACTACCAACTGGGAACTCTTTGGCTCTGTTGCAGCAACATGGGAAGATGCCGTCATTGACAACATTGATGAGGAATACGATCGAATCATTCAGCACCTCCATGATTGTGCAAGGAATGCCAAGAGAGAGATAACCACAAAAAACCGTCTTTCTTCGAACACTCTTGAACTTATTCGCCAACGTGGCGTGGCACGTGCCTCAGGCAACCACAAGCAAACGTCCGAACTGGCAAAACAGTGCAGAAAAGCCATCAAGGATGACCTCAAAAACAGGAGAGCTGCAGTACTGGTAGATGCAGCAGAAGCTGGGAAAAACATTCGTAATGCCCGCCTGTCCTTCACCAACTACAAAACCAAGATGACTGCCCTCCGACATCATGATGGATCTATCACATCTTCCAGAAGGGCAATGGAGAAGATTATTCATGAATTCTACTCAGATCTCTTTAATAGCCACATCCACTTGCCCACATACCACATACCACATGATGGATATGTCGTTCCCAATGTTCTCCCTTCCGAAATCCAACATGCCATCTCGTCGGTAAAGAAACAAAAAGCACCTGGCCCAGACAAGATCAGACCTGAACACCTGAAGAACTTACCATCAGTACTCATCAATACATTAGCTCGACTCTTCACACGCTACCTGTCTGAATGCAAGGTTCCATCCCAATGGAAAACCAGCAAGACTGTACTACTATACAAGAAAGGAGACATCCACGACATTGGCAACTATCGCCCAATCTGCCTATTGTCTGTCATCTACAAACTATTCACTCGAGTCATCCTGAATAGGATTAGCAGAACACTAGATGAAGGACAACCATGTGAACAAGCTGGATTCCGAAAAGGATTCAGTACCATCGACCATATCCACACAATAACCAAGCTCATTGAGGTATCTCGGGAGTTCAAGATGCCGCTCTGTCTAACGTTCATTGATTTAAAGAAGGCCTTTGATTCTGTTGAGACGGAAGCGGTCATGGAAGCCCTAGCCAATCAGGGCGTACAAACTCAATACATCAGGATCCTTCGTGAGCTCTATTGCGGATTCACTACCAAGATCTCACCATTCTACAAAGAAGTAATCATCCATATCAAGAGAGGGGTTCGGCAGGGTGATACCATTTCACCAAAACTCTTCAGTGCCACCCTCGAGAACATCATGCGACGACTAGAATGGGAAAACATGGGAGTGAAGATAGATGGTCGGCAACTACACCACCTCCGCTTTGCTGATGACATCGTTCTAATAACACCAAACATCAGCCAAGCGGCACAAATGCTTGCGGACTTTGACCGTGAGTGTGGAAAGGTTGGACTACAGCTGAATCTTACGAAGACAATGTTTATGAGAAACAGCCTTGTTCCTGACGCTCCATTCGCTCTCAACGGAACCACCATCTCCGAATGCAACAGTTATATATACTTAGGTCGAGAAATCAACATGATGAATGACCTGGCACCTGAGTTACGCAGGAGGAAGAGAGCGGCTTGGAATGCCTTCAAGAGCATTGAAGAAATAACTAAAAGGACAAAGAACCTCCAACTACGAGCACATCTCTTTGATTCCACTATTCTTCCTGCATTAACATATGCCTCAGAGACCTGGACCCTACGAAAACAGGATGAGAACACTATTCGGGTCTCTCAAAGAGGAATCGAAAGAACTATGCTTGGAATATCACGATTCACTCAAATGAGAGATAGAATCCGGAGTTCTGATCTTCGTCAACGCTCAAGAATCAGAGACGCTGTCTCATTTGCCAAGACATCAAAAATCAGATGGGCTGGACATGTAATGAGGTTTACAGACAACCGCTGGACTAGAGCCATTACTGATTGGATTCCACGAGACATCAAAAGATCACGTGGACGCCCACCTATAAGATGGTCAGACTTCTTCGTCAAGACCCTAAATGATCGGTTTGAGGCTCTACATGTTCCTAAAACGAACAGATACCATTGGGCTACGCTAGCACGCAACCGTGATGAATGGAGACGTTACTGGCACCCGCTCGAATAAATCGATGAATAACGGGGATTAAGTGATTAAGTGATTAGTGTCTTTGACACGACTTCCACTACCCAGCCGTCGCCACACTCCAGGACGCTTTCCGGACCCGCGCGGCAGCTCCGGCTGAGACCCACGCACAACTGAAGACCCACAGAACAAGATAAGCGGAACTCTCTGAGACCTTGGACTCCAGGCTCGGCGGACCCAGGGACAGAGCTTCTCTGCTTGCTCCCACCACCACAGGTGACAAAGGGATTCTAATCAGGAGCCCCACCCTACCCTGCCCTGTCTGCTTCCATCAACCACCCAGGGATCGAATTGTGCACAGGAGACCCACCCTACCCAGATAAATACCCCACTGGCAGACTTCCACTCTCGACACGACTTCCACTACCCAGCCGTCGCCACACTCCAGGACACTTTCCAGACCGCGCGGACGCAAGCGGCCGCGCGACACATCATAAGACACTAAATACCCATCTTCTGGAATTGTCGTACCATATTTGATAGGGTTCAAATATGGTAACACCTACAAGGGTGATTAGAGGTCACCCCAAAAGCCTCTATCCCTCTCGGAAAGACTGGCAAGCTACCGAGAGTATTCCGCCCGCACGGAAGAGCCTGGCAAGCTATCCGCTGTGTATTCGATATGCCAAAACCAGTAACTACAACTGGTCTCATTCACCTGACCCTGAAGGCTTCACCGACATGGCAGCACTGAGAAGGATGAGAAAGGAGAGGCCGACAAAATCTCAAGGCCGACCTAGGCTGCCACAACGAAGGAAGACAAAAATGATCGTCTGTACTTTCAATGCACGTACGCTAGCATCAGATGCATCCATCGAGGACCTGATGGTACAAGCGCGAATGATCAAGTACGACATCATTGGTCTGACCGAGACAAGAAGGCACGAATCTCACCATGCCGTTTTCGACACCGGAGAAGAATTGTTCCTCGGAACATGCGATAAAAGAGGTGTTGGAGGCGTCGGTGTCCTTGTCAACACAAACTTGGTCAAGAGCATTGATTCATTCGAATGCCTAACAACCCGAATCGGACGTTTACATTTGAATAGATGTGGCTCACTGCCTGCAGTTTCTATCTTCGTTGTCTACGCACCAACATCTCATTATGATGAAAGAGAAATCGAGAAGTTCTACATGGAGCTAGAGAAGTTCTATAAAGAAGACCACACCTTCTACAAGATCATTGTGGGTGATTTTAATGCCAAGATAGGACCGAGAAGATCAGCTGAAGAACTTCACATCGGGACCCATGGCCTAGAATGGAACGAACAGGGTGAGAGACTGTCAGAGTTCATCATGTCGACCAAGACCATCCATGGTAACTCACAGTTCCAGAAGGCAGAATCTAAACGATGGACATGGGAGTCTCCCGGTGGACGATTCCACAACGAAATAGACCACATCATATTCAATCGACGGTTTTGCCTGACTGATGTCGCTGTTGTCCCAAAATTTCGAACGGGATCGGACCACCGTCTCCTTCGTGCAAAATTCTACTTCACAGAGCGGGGAGAAAGGGCTGCAAAGTTCAAAAAGAGAACTCCCAGAATGACCACCAACTGGGAACTCTTTGGTACTATTGCGGCAACATGGGAAGATGCCATTGTTGACAACATTGACGAGGAATACGATCGACTGGTTCAGCACCTCCATGAATGTGCGAGGAACGCCAAGAGCGAGATAGCCACAAGAAGTCGCCTATCTTCGAAAACTCTTGAGCTAATTCGCCAGCGTGGTTTGGCGCATGCCTCAGGCAACCGCAAACTAACGTCCGAGCTTGCAAAGCAGTGCAGAGATGCGATCAAGGAAGACCTCAAAGAGAGAAGAGCAGAAGTACTGGTAGATGCGGCAGAAGCCGGGAAAAGTATTCGTAAGGCCCGCCTATCCTTCGCCAACTATAAGACCAAGATGACTGCCCTCCGACGTCCTGATGGATCCATCACATCCTCCAGAACGGCAATGGAGAAGATTATCCATGACTTCTACTCAAATCTCTTCGATAGCCATGTCCACTTGCCAACATACCAAATTCCACAGGATGGGTATGTTGTTCCCAACGTTCTCCCCTCCGAAATCCGACACGCCATTTCGTCGGTAAAGAAACAAACAGCACCCGGCCCAGACAAGGTCAGACCTGAACACCTGAAGAACCTGCCATCAGTACTCATCAATACACTGGCTCGGCTCTTCACTCGCTACCTGTCTGAATGCAAGGTTCCGTCCCAATGGAAAACCAGCAGGACCGTACTACTGTTCAAGAAGGGAGACATCCATGACATTGGCAACTATCGCCCGATCTGCCTATTGTCTGTCATCTACAAGTTGTTCACTCGAGTCATCCTGAATAGGATTGGCAGAACATTAGATGAAGGACAACCATGCGAGCAAGCAGGGTTCCGCAAAGGATTCAGCACCATCGACCATATCCACACAATAACCAAGCTCATTGAGGTTTCTCGGGAGTTCAAGATGCCGCTCTGCTTAACGTTCATTGATTTAAAGAAGGCCTTTGATTCTGTTGAGACGGAAGCGGTCATTGAAGCCCTAGCCAATCAGGGCATTCAAGCCCAATACATCAGGATCCTCCGTGAGCTGTATTGCGGATTCACTACCAGGATCTCACCATTCTACAAAGAAGTGATCGTTGATGTCAAGAGAGGGGTGCGGCAGGGTGATACCATTTCACCGAAACTCTTCAGTGCCACCCTCGAGAACATCATGCGACGACTGGAATGGGAAGGAATGGGAGTGAAGATAGATGGTCGGCAATTACACCACCTCCGCTTTGCTGATGATATTGTTTTAATAACACCAAACATCAGCCAAGCAGCACAAATGCTGGCCGACTTTGACAGTGAGTGTGGAAAGGTAGGACTACAGCTGAATCTTACGAAGACAATGTTTATGAGAAACAGCCTTGTTCCTGACGCCCCATTCGCTCTCAATGGAACGACCATCTCCGAATGCAACAGCTATGTCTACCTAGGTCGAGAGGTCAACATGACAAATGACCTGGCACCCGAGCTGCGCAGGAGGAAGAGAGCGGCTTGGAACGCCTTCAAGAACGTCGAAGAAATAGCAAAGAGGTTGAAGAACCTCCGGCTCCGGGCACATCTCTTTGATTCCACTGTTCTTCCTGCATTAACATATGCCTCAGAGACCTGGGCCCTACGCAAACAAGATGAGAATGCCATTCAGGTCTCCCAAAGAAGAATAGAAAGAGCTATGCTTGGAATATCACGTTTCACTCAAATGAGAGAAAGAATCCGGAGTTCTGACATCCGTCAACGATCAAGGATCAGGGACGCTGTCTCATTTGCCAAGGTGTCGAAAATCAGATGGGCTGGTCACGTAATGAGATTTAAAGACGACCGTTGGACTAGAGCTGTTACTGATTGGATTCCACGGGATGTCAAGAGACCGCGTGGCCGCCCACCTACCAGATGGTCAGACTTCTTCCTGAAGATCATGAACGATCGGTTTGAGGCCCTTCATGTTCCCGGAGCGAACAGATGCCATTGGGCTACACTAGCACGCGACAGGGACAAATGGAGACGTTACTGGCGCCCGCTCGAGCAAATCGACGACTAACGGGAAGTTAAGTGATTAAGTGATTAAGTGTCTTTGATAAAATTAACCATTCTACCTCAGATCTGTTCTTTTGTTCTTCTGTTTGGGGGTCAAACTAGACAGGGCGATGGCCTAATCCCATGGGTGCCAAGAGGACTAAACTGCTGTTCTTGTAAGTCCAAAATTGTAACATTTAAGGAGTTGGACCCCACAGTTTAAAAGAGTTAAGTACATATTGTGAATAATCTAGAAATAATCAGAATAATTCTCATTTACTCTCCAAAAGGCTTTTAAGACACTATATTAGTGTGGTATTGAACTGCTGATTCCTTAAGAGGAAATCTGATTTAGAATTGAGTTGAGACAAATAAGATGACCTGCAGAGGGGCTTCAAAACATTAGACCAAATGCTAGCTACGAAATATCAATCGGTGTGGAGCTTAAAACTGATGGTTCAATATCAGTGCTACTAATCTCAAATGTTCTTAAGAATAGTTGATGTGATTTGTCTAACATGGTATCCAGGTTACATTTAGTAATTCTGAGGAAATATTAAGAGTTTTAAGAAACCAAAGGAGGAGGGAGAAAAGCGGGAACGGTAACATGGCATTTCACAAAATCTTTTAATTAGCAGATTTTAAGCATCTTACTTACAATTTTGATTGTCTATATCTTCGGTCCATTTAATACTTTCTAGAAGCAGTTGTTCAACCTCAGAAGAAATAATATTTTCTATCACTGTGAGGCCTGGAGGTAAGGCCTGGCATCCCGATTCTTTCCACTGTACTGTGAGAGATCAAATGGAAATAGTTAAATACGAAAAGTTCCCAAATATGAATAATTCTGTCCAATAGCTCTGTCAGTTCATAAGACTCCCAATTATTATTTTTAGAAACAAGAATGCTACATGACATATATAGATTGAGCTGAAAATCAGGTTCCACTTTATTTACTGCAATGGCCCGCAGAAGCACAACAGTATTTAGTAAGTTTTCTCTTTGAACATGACCAAGTCACTTTTTGAATCTAAGAAATAAGTTTTCATATACAATCTACAGCATTTCTCTACATTGGAAAATCAGGTTGTCTCTAAATAATGAACACCAAAAATGCAAAATCTCATTTTTGCCCTTAGGGAGTACGCCTTGCACTTGGCTGACCTGGCCCACCCAGGTTCGATTCCTCCGCCCGCTCAGAGAGCCCGGCAAGCTACCAAGAGTATCTCGCTCTCATGGCAAAGCCTGGCAAGCTCCCTGTGACGTATTCAATACGACAAACACAGTAACAACAAGTCTCACAATGCAGACGTTACTAGGCCTGCTCGAGCAAATCGATGAACAACAGGAGGACAGCGCTACAGTGCTACAGTTCTTTTCTTGGTGGTTGGGGGCCAAAGGGCTGGGGTTGCACCCAGAGATGCTCGGAGCCTATACCTGGCCCATTACTAGGGACAGAAACAGGGTCACCCATACTACAAGGCAAGCACCTTCACCGGCTGTCTCTCCAGCCCTGCCCTTGCGAAATCAAAACTACCTCATGTCTTCAAGTAGCAGGAAAATGTAAAACAACATAAAATTTTCTAATAAAAACACTCCTGCATGAAAAATAACTGAAATCCCATTGTCCTCCAAAGTTTTAGTTAGGTCCATCTCTAGAATAAAAGGGAGAAGAATTCTCACAAGGCTGGAGAGAACTGCTTTGCGTGTGAGAGGTCCTGATTTGGTCCCTGGTAACTCAGGTTTCCTGATCACTGTGCGCAGTGCCAGAAATAGTCCCTGAGTTCGACTGGGAATGTTGCTCCCTACAATATTTTGACTAAATAAAGGAAACAGAGTAATTTACATTTAGTATTAGAGAACAAACCATTCTGGGGAGCACGTGGTGACAGGGTTTGAATTCCTATCTGGTAACCCAGTTTTTTTTTTAATCCCTTAAGCTTAAGTCAAATTTTAAATACAATGAGAATAATCAATTCTAATATAACTTTAAAAGTTTTTAAGTTTCTTTTGAGTCTCATTTAAAAAAAATTAGATTGCATTATATTTATCAACCCACCCCCAAGATAACGTAAAAGAACTCTTTAATTGCCTCTACAAGTGGTAAATACACACACACACAAACACACACACACACACACACTCACACCCACATATAAAACAAATATATTAGGTGTCTAAATCAAAGTTCATCTTAATGCATCTCATTTCCATGGGACAGTGTAATAAGTGTAATAAAGCTATAATAATCCCTGAAGCAATTCTATAAATTAGTGGATAAAGCATCTACTTAAATTAACTGAATTAGTTTAGTTAAATAAATTTACATTAAATTTAAATAAGTTTATATTAAAAATTCAGTTCCTGGGCAGCAAAGCTAGTAGGTGGGTCAGGAGCTAGCCTTGCTCATGGTTGAGTCCGGCACAGAATACAGCCCCAAGACCCACCAGGAGTGAGCCCTGAGCACAGAGTGAAGAGTATGCCCAGAGCATGGCTGGGTGTGTGTGGCACAAAAATAAATAAATACAAGAAAAATTTCAGTTCCTTGATCACATGTGATACTAGAAAGCACAGGTATGAATATGGGAACAATTTGGTCACCAGTGAAAGTCCTTTTGCGTCTGTTTGTATTGGGACTCACATCAGCTGAAACCAAGAGCGTGGGGATCATTTCTGGCTGTGCTTGGGACCATATGGTGCTGGGGATGGAACCTGGGCAGGCATTCAGCTCATTGGCATTCTCTCCCACCCAGAAATTTCTACTAGACAGATGCTCAGATGCCCTACAAAGCTTTATGGAGTTTGAATAGCTAAAGATGGTCCTCCATAATCTGAAACTTGACATATAATCATTTGGATTACAATGAACCCTGAAGTAATTAGCTAAAAGCTTATGGATAGATACTAAGAAATGAAATGATAATCTGAATTGTCAACAGTAAATTTTCAAAACACAATTAGTAGCAGGATTCCAAAATAAGGAACATGCATAACGTAAGTATAAAAAGGTAATGGCCCTCCCGTTGTTCGTCGATTTGCTCAAGCGGGCCCAATAACGTCTCCACTGGAGACTTTGTTGTTACTGTGTCTGGCATATGGAATACGTCACGGGGAGCTTGCCAGGCTCTGCCGTGCTGGCGAGATACTCTTGGTAGCTTGCCGGGCTCTCCGAGAGGGGCGGAGGAATCGAACTTGGGTCAGCCATGTTGGCTGCGTGCAAGGCAAACGCCCTACCGCTGTGCTATTGTATATAGTATGTATATGAACATCCAGCTCCTTAAAGGCAGGCTCTGTCTTAACCTTTACCTACTAGACCCATGCCTGGCACAAATAAGGCCTTAAGTAAGTTTGTTAAATTAAGAGAAGCTTCTTAGCTGATATCTTGCTTTGTTTCACAATAATTAGGCATTCATATTCACCCATCTGACAAGGGGCTGATATCAAGGATATACAAAGTACTGGCTGAGCTCCACAAGAAGAAAACATCCAACCCCATCAAAAAATGGGGCAACGAAATGAACAGAAACTTTCTCAAAGAAGAAATCCAAATGGTGAAAATGCTCTACATCATTAATCATCGGGGAGATGCAGATCAAAACAACAATGAGATATCATCTCACAACTCAGAGACTGGCCCACACCCAGAAGGACAAAAGCAACCGGTGTTGGCGCGGATGTGGAGAGAAAGGGACCCTCCTTCACTGCTGGTGGGAATGCCGACTGGTTCAGTCCTTTTGGAAAACAGTATGGACGATTCTCAAAAAATTAGAAATTGAGCTCCCATTTGACCCAATACCACTCCTGGGAATATATCCCAGAGAGGCAAAAAAGTATAGTCAAAGTGACATCTGCACTTGTTTGTTCATTGCAGCACTCTTTACAATAGCCAGAATCTGGAAAAAACCTGAGTGCCTGAGAACAGATGACTGGTTAAAGAAACTTTGGTACATTTACACAATGGAGTACTATGCAGCTGTTAGAAAAGATGAAGTCATGAAATTTACATACAAGTGGTACTACATGGAAAGTATCATGCTAAGTGAAATGAGTCAGAAAGAGAGGGACAGACATAGAAAGACTGCATTCATCTGGGGAACATCACGATCATGATCACGATCACCGGTTGTTCGTCGATTTCCTCGAGCAGGCACCAGTAATGTCTCCTTCTTCCTAGCCCTGAGATTTTAAAAGAGCCATTTCAATGCTCTTTCAGAATTAGGAGAATGAGACCCATCATTGTTACTGGTATTTGGAATATTGAGTACGACACAGGAAGTTTGCCATACTTCACCGTGCGGGCAGGATACTTTTGGTAGCCTGCCAGGTTCTCCAAAGGAAAAAAATAAGATTAGAAGATGTCACATGGAACATAAACATAACATAAACATAACATGACATCTGGAAAACATAAAGTAACAAAATAGGAGATTAACACCCAAGAACAGCCAAGATAAGTACCAGGAGGTTTACTCCATGGCTTAGAGGCCAGCCGCATATGCTAGGGAAAAAGGGAGCTCAGATACAGAAGGGAGCACCAAATAAAGGGTGTTGGGAGGATCCTCCCAAGATGGGAGATATATGCTGAAAGTAGACTATAGACCGAACATGATTCCCACTCAATGCCTCTTTTGCAAACCTCAGCACCCAAAAGGAGAGAGAGAACAAAAGGGAATGCCCTGCCACAGAGGCAGGGTGAGATGAGGGGGATGGGGAGGGTGGGTGGGATACTGGGATCATTGGTGGTGAAGACACTGGTAGAGGGATGGGTACTCGATCATTGTATAACCCAAACACAAAAATTTGTAAGTCTACAACTGTACCTCGTGGTGCTTCACTAATAAAAATTTGAAAAAAAAAATTACTCTACTAATAAAACGTTATATGAACAAAAATAAATAAATAATAATTAGGCATTCAAACTTCTCTCTCTCTCTCTTTCTCTCTCTCTCTCACACACACACAAAGAAAAACAAGAAATTAAAAAATGAAAGCATTTTTAAAAGACAGGTGTATGGGAATACCTTTTTCCACAAAATTCGAGTACAGAATGATCTTCTGTCCTAAATCGTCCTCTATTTCTTTTCCGTTGAGGGCAGCATAGGCTTTCCCAGATGCTTCCGTCGTTCTGTACCTCACAAATGCGTAGGGCTTATTAGGTGGCATGAGGAGAGCATCCACAGGGCCATACTCCTCTACAACGGGGAGCAGCCGGTCCCTACTGACGCCGTTACCCAAACCACCATTGGCGACAACCAGGCTCTAGAACAACAGAAACGAAATGAAGAAAGAAGGTAACTTGAGCAATTGACAGGAACCCATTGGGGATCGTTGGGAGTTTTAAATAAGATTGTTTCTTGCATGAAGTTTTCTACAGAGCTTTAATTATAAAAGTCTTCTCTTGATGGTTATTCAGTTTTGCAAGTTCTGTTAATTTGAGGACCAGCCCTCACAGTGCTCAGGGGCTATTCCTATCTGGATGGTGTCAGGGGATCAAACCTGCGCCTTCTGCGTGCAGAGCATGTGCTCCAACCCACTGAGCCACCTCTGGCCCCTCGGTTTTATCATTCCATATAAAGCACGCGAAACAACGAACTAAAATATCTAGAAATTAAAAATACTCCGATTTTGTAAATAATATTTTAAAGCAACTTTCTGCTGTTTCTAAAATGATCACACATAAAAATCAAAAGGTAACTTTTTGGGGGTCCATAAATTTAACGTGAAAAGATTAAAGAGAAAAATGGAAGGGCTTAACACTTGGGGATTTTTTTGCCAGAAATCATGCTGTATGCTTCACCCCAATTATCATTGTTAATTGATATATATATATATAATTAATCTTCACAGAGATCCTACAAAGTGGATTAGCCTATTTTAAAGGAAAACTGAGGAACAGAAAAATAAAGTTAAGGCAGAGACAGGAAAAATCTATTCCTGTCAGTGTCTACAAGCAACACTTTTGCTATACTAGGAAAAAATCCCAAGTATCTAATTCATTCTGCAGTTAAACTGATTTCCTTTCTAGATTCCAATCATTGTGACTCTCTACTTAAAACTAGGGTCATCCCAACAGTGTCCAAAGGCCAAGCAGGCCTCTCCTAGCAGTCCCGGCCTGAGGCTGAACACTGCTCAGTACCACCGGGGTTGAAAGTGGGGTGCCGAGTATACGCCACCCCTTTGAGTCCTCTTCCCACCTCTCTATCCTGGTTCTTAGGGTCTAGTGCCCATACAGTCTTTGCACTTAAAAACCATTTCTAGGGGCAGAACGTGACACAGGTGACAGAACATGTGCCGTTCCTGTATGAGATGCTGAGTCTGCACCCCAGACCTGCATTTCTGCCCCTTCCCCAACTCTGAAGTGTCTAACAGTTAATTAAATCCAATTAACTGTTAATGATGTCACAGGTGTGAAGATACTTGATTGACACGGGTGAGAAACACCAAAGTCTGCAAACCCAGAGGAAACGCCCCACAATTAATGCCAGGATGGACCTTGCACTGATTTAGATCTCTCTCTAATAGTCCCTTAGGTCTCCCTTAAATAGTCACTCCTAACTTAGGATACGGTACAGGGTCGAGCAGAAGCCTGACTTGAGGGACACGTGCTGCTCTGAGTTCTCAGAGTCCCTCAGATACTTATAATTAAATAGTTGCCATGCAAAAAAGTATAGTCGAAGTGACATCTGCACTTGTTTGTTCATTGCAGCACTCTTTACAATAGCCAGAATCTGGAAAAAACCTGAGTGCCCGAGAACAGATGACTGGTTAAAGAAACTTTGGTACATCTACACAATGGAGTACTATGTAGCTGTTAGAAAAGATGAAGTCATGAAATTTACATACAAGTGGTACTACATGGAAAGTATCATGTTAAGCGAAATGAGTCAGAAAGAGAGGGACAGACATAGAAAGATTGCATTCATCTGGGAAACATGAAGTAACAAAATAGGAGACTAACAGCCAAGAGTGGCCGAGATTAGTACCAGGAGTTTTGCTCCATGGCTTGGAGGCCAGCCACACATTCTAAGGGAAAAGGGAGCTCAGATAGAGAAGGGAGCACCAAATAAGGAGGATCCTCCCAGGATGGGAGAAGCATGCTGAAAGTAGACTATAGACTGAACATGATTGCCACTCAATGCCTCTTTTGCAAACCACAGCACCCAAAAGGGGAGAGAGAACAAAAGGGAATGCCCTGCCACAGAGGCAGGGTGGGATGGGGGAGATGGGGGGTGGGAGGGATACTGGGACACGTGGTGGTAGAAAATGGGCACTGGTGGAGGGATGGGTATTTGATCATTGTATAATTAAAATCCAAGCACAAAAATCTGTAAGTCTACAACTGTGCCTCATGGTGTTTCAGTAATAAAAAACAAACAAAAAATAAAATAAAAAATAAGGAAAAAAAACATGACAAATGACCTGGCACCTGAGCTGCACAGGAGGAAGAGAGCGGCTTCGAACGCCTTCAAGAGCGTCGAAGAAATAGCTAAGAGGACGAAGAACCTCCGGCTCCGGGCACATCTCTTTGATTCCACTGTTCTTCCTGCATTAACATACGCCTCAGAGACCTGGGCCCTACGCAAACAGGATGAGAACGCTATTTGGGTCTCCCAAAGAGGAACTGAAAGAGCTACGCTTGGAATATCACGTTTCACTCAAATGAGAGAAAGAATCCGGAGTTTCAACCTCCCTCGAAGACCAAGAATCAGGGATGCTGTCTCATTTGACAAGGCATCAAAAATCAGATGGGCTGGTCAAATAATGAGATTTGGAGACGACCGCTGGACTAGAGCCGTTACCGACTGGATTCCATGGGATGTCAAAAGACCGCGTAGCCACCCACCTACCAGATGGTCAGACTTCTTCATCAAGATCATGAACGATCGGTTTGAGGCTCTTCGTGTTCCTAGAACGAACAGACGCCATTGGGCTACACTAGCACGCGACAGGGACAAATGGAGACGTTACTGGCGCCCGATCGACGATTAACGGGAAGTCGAGTGATCAAGTGAAGGAAAAAAAAAAAAACAGTTGCCATGACTTGGAGGCCAGCCATACATGATGTGGGAAAAGCCAGCTCAGATACAGAAGGGAGCACCAAATAAAGGGTGTTGGGAGGATCTGCCCAGGATGGGAGATGCATGCTGAAAGTAGACTATAAACCAAACATGATTGCCTCTCAATGCCCCTTTTGCACACCAAAGCACCCAAAAGGAGAGAGAGAACAAAGGGGAATGCCCTGCCACAAAGGCAGGGTGGGATGGGGGGGAGAGGAGGTGGGAGGGGTATTGGGATCAGTGGTGGTGGAAAATGGGCACTGGTGGAGGGATGGGTACTCAATCATTGTATAAATGAAACCCAAGCACAAAAATGTGTAAGTCTACAACTGTTCCTCAAGGTGTTTCACTAATAAAATAAACAAATAGTTGCCATGAGATAATGAAAATACTCTGTAAATAAGATCTAACAAATAAAAACATGTTTCACAGCATGAAATAAAAATGGTTTATAATACAGACTGAAGTAGGGAATAGAAGAATGGATCAGGATCATTGAAATGAGGATTTTATTGTCATTTTATACCAAGGGTCATATACATCCTCTGAGAACCTTGGTTTTTTCACTCTTTACATAGGCTTTTTCAGGGAATTAAATAGAAATATGAATTTAGGTATGCTTTGGAAACAGCAAAGAGAGCGTTAGCTGCTATTAATGTTTGCCCAGCAAAGCCTCTTGCCCGCACAATGGAGGGAACTGAGTGGGGCCTGAGCACTGCAGTTCAGTCATCCCTGGATGATACAAAACAAAGAGGGGCAGACTCTCCTGTGAGCACTGCACCCTTTGCACCCACGAGCACAGTCGGTCACCTGGGTGGCATGGGTCACTGCCTCAATGCCTTCATGCCTCAGCAATGTGTGTCTGGCTTTGACCTGTTTCCTCAGAGACTTCTTCTCAGCTTTGCTGAGTCTGCAGCTACTTCGGTGATCACTGTCCATGGCATACTGAAAGGACAAGAGCGTCATCAGATACCAAACAGCACCGCATAGTTAGGTTCTGGGGTTCTATGTGCACCCGTGGGTGGCCTGGGGGTGAATGTCTGGCTGTGTCTATCTGTCTCCTGCCCCTTGGGCCTGGGTCCTGCAGAAAGACAAGACCTGGCCGGCCAGGGGCTGTTTGCCTGACCAGGGTGAGTAAATGCCCCCAACAACTGGCAAGGGGTCTCAGCTGCAGAGTCTGGGGTGCCCTGTCCCATGTCCCCAGGTCCTACAGAAAGACAGACCCGGCCAGCCGGGGCTCCTGTGCTGCCTGACCAGGCTGGGTGAATCCCCCCAACAACTGCCAAGAGGTCCCAGCTGCTGAGGTCTAGGGGTGCCCTGTCCCTTGTCCCTGGTCCCACAGAAAGACAGATCTGACCAGCCAGGGGGTATCTGCCTGGACAGAGTGACCCAACAACTGGTAGGGGACCCAGCTGCTGAGATCTGGGGGTGCCCTGTCCCTTGTCCCTGGGTCCTGCAGAAAGAGAGACCTGGCCAGCCAGAGGCTGTCTGCCTGGCCAGGGTGAGCGACTCCCCAACAGCTGGCAGGGGTCGCTGCCGCGGAGTCTCGGGGTACCCCGACCCGTGTCCCTGCCTGGGTCCTGCAGAAAGACAGACCCGGCCAACTGGGACTCCTGTGCTCCCTGACCAAGCTGAACGAATTCCCCCAACACCCGGCGGAGGTCCCCCCTGCGGAGCTGGGGGCGCCTCCCATTTTAAGGGCGCGTGATGGGGGCCACAGGAGTGAAGTCCGGAACCAGCCTGGCTCAGAAGCGCCCGAGTCCCTAATAATCCGGGGAGACCCTCACAAACGCGCACTTCCCACCCCTACAGTCGAGGCCGCACGGAGCCCGGAGCCTCCCTTGACCGGCGCCCCACACCCCCCAGGGTGCTCACCTCTCCCGTGCTCGCTCCGGCGCCCTCGCTTACTCCCGGCCCCTGGGCGCAGCCATGTTGGCGCGCGGAACTACGTTTCCCAGGAACCCGCGCGGCGCCCGCGCCTCCCACAATCCCTCGCGCCTCCCAGCCGTTGTCTCTGTGCCGGTGGGAGCCGGTGCCCAGACCTTTTGCTCGGGGGTTGAGGTCCTGGGCGAGGCAGGCGGGCTTGGGTTAGGTCCCAGGACTGGGGGAGGGCGAAAGGAAAGGCTCACCGGTGGAGAAGGTAAGCCGTTTGCCAACGGTAACGGTTAGGAGGAACCGTGCCGCCCGTGGGACGCCTTTGTGGACCGCCCGACCCTGCTCCCCTCCCCAGGTCACAAACGGGGACGTGGGGTCCACAGTGCAGCGGGCAGGGCGTTGGTCCCCAGCACCGACAGGCATGTCCCCGAGCACCCAGATAAAAGAGTGGCTGTGGGTATGGCTTAGGGGTCTCCTCCCAAGAGACCCATTCCTACCATCTGGCAGGACCCCTCCCCCACCCTGCAGATCCAGCGCCATCCTCTCGCTCAGCACCTCCTCTCTGGGCGTTTGGAGCATCGTTGTCTGTGATGATGCGGGGACTCACCTTCTGGAGCGGGCGCATCTTCCAGACAGGACTGCAAATGGCCACATCTCCGAGTTCCTTGCACCTCTCTGAGCACATGGGCCCACTCAGAGGACAGTGGAAGATGCAAAATAAAATTGCATCTAGCAGACGGTCAGAGACAGCGGAGGACTAGCATCCCCTGGCCCAAAGGGAGCCGAAGTACATTTAAGACCGCCTCACTTCAGCCTGTCTGTGATGCACCTCGGATAGAATGCCTCCCAGTCGAGCAATCTTGGTGGATCAGCAGGGAAGATGGAATCTCATTCATTTCAATATAGGGCAGCGATGGGAACTGGCCTCTGGCTCAAGGTCTACTGCAGCAATCCATCAAGCTGTGTTGTGGCCTGAAGGTATCCTCGTTGCCAGTGCTCAAACCCAGATCCATCTTCCATAGTGGAGTCTAGCTCAGAAAAAGAACTCTGCAGATGAGACAGAAAAGCAAGGCACCAACAGCACTCCAATACATTCAAGGAGAGTGTGAAACTCTCAAATGTCAAGGAAATGAGGACTCCTTAGAAACCTTGACAAGAGCCATTTCTCTGGGTGCAAACCACATCCCCAACAGTTAGGATAAATGTGTAAAAGGTGACAAAATTGACCCTAGTTGATGCAAATCCACTGCCCCTATAAATTCTGTTACTTGTGGAATGAATAAAGGGGGTAGAAGTGGGGTCAAGAGAAGCTTGTGTTTTGTTTGTATTTTTTTGAAAGATGGAATTCATCATATTTAATTGCTGATAGGATGATCCAACATGGAAGAAAAAGGCTACTGATGAAAAGAGAATATATGGGCAGCTCCTCAAATGAGAAAATTTAAAAGGACTCCAAAGACAGGACGTTTTGAACAGTTACGGGGATTCAGAAATGCTCACTGAATCTCAGTTCTTTCTTGTTGCTTAATTGTTTTGGGCACTGGGCATTGTTCACCTAGATCAACTTCTGTTACTTAAAGCCCCACACATGTACTCACTCGCATGCACCAGGGGCCTAGACTGCCGGCAGAAGGCTACATTCCTTCCAGTTCTGATCCTAACATTTCACCAAGATATTTTCCTTTGGGGGCTCAGTTTCCTTCCAGAAAATAATAGCTACCTCATAAGGTCATTCGGTGAACTTAAAAGGGTACCCTGTGAAAGTCTGCACTGTATTGGCACATGGCAAAGTGAAATGAGCATCACTATAGCAATAACTGGTTCTGTCCTAAGACGCTGAGAGGCTCTGACATTCCTTCCATGACTGGACCCAGGACGTAGGGGGCAGAGGGCAGGGCCTAGGAGCGCCACCAAGGGAGCTGCCATAGGGACCGTGGGGACAGGCACAGTTCGATTCCCATTATAGTTTCACCAGGAGGTACTTCCGTAGAATGCCAGCATTTAAAGTGTGTGGCTATGCGGGAGGAGAGGCTTGGGGTGGGAGAAAAGAGTTGAGGTCCTCAGATAGGGAAGGGCAAGAAACCATTCAAAAAGATAAAAGACTCAGCCAGGCCATTCCAGCCCTCAGAGAGGTAAGCCTGGCAGAGAGAAACACGAAGCGGGCATTCCAGCCCTCGGAGCCAGCTCACTGGTGCTAGCCTACTATAGGGCAGTAGGATGGGGAATATGTATAATATTATATAATATATGTACATAATATAACAATATAATAGTAGAATGGAGAATATATATAATAGACGCAAACGTGGGAAACATCTGCCCTGCCACCACGTATCTCAGAGATATACAGAGATAAACATTGATTTGCTTTATCATTGTGTAGAATTTTTTTACTGATGCTTGAGTGCTTTTAATTTTTCCTATTTAGAGTTGACTAAAACTTAAAATGGAGTCAGATGGAGCCTTAGACCTCCAGGGGAAAATCAAAAAACTTGAAGAAGAACAACTGAAATCTGCACAGCATGGTTTGCAGCTGGTGGAAAGCCAAAGTAGGCTTCAGAAAGAATTAGATAAATGTCGGGATGAGATGACAGCCATGACTGAGGTAGGACCTGGGCCCTGCTTACAGAGGCAGTGAGCTGTCGGCAGTGTATTACCTTATGATGTTGTCTAATGATTTAAGATCTGGTTCCTCCAACTCCTACTCCCATAAGTTAAATTAAATATCTACTATAATTGCCACCCCTGTCCTGAGTTTGAAAAAAATCAAGCGGCACTAGTTCTGGCACTAGTTCTCCTTATTACATCTCGGATTTTAAATTTTTTGTTCTGTCTGCACTTTCCTTAAGTGACCTCATTTATTTCCTGGTTTGGATAATATTTGAAAGATTTGAAAGGCCTGTGCTGCCGAGCCAGGCCTTAGTGGACCTGAAATCTAGACTTGTGTTAACTACCCACTGAAATGTCTATCAAAACTAACACTAAACAGAACGGTTGGTTCCCTGTTTACTAACCAAACACTCATTTGCAATTTCTTTGGGTCTTTTAATTTTGGGGGGAGGGGGGTGTGACATATCGAGCTGAGCCTGATCAGAGCTTACTCCTGGTTCCAGTGCTCAAGGATCACTGCTGGCCAGGCTCAGGCCCAGGCCCAGGTCCCGTGTTGGGGGAATCACACCCAGGGCAGCCTCGTGCAGTGCCTTACCTGCAGTTCGATCTCTGACCCACCACTCACAATTTCTTTGGCTTAATAGACTAAAGAGAATCACATCAGCCAATTGTTTGAGCCTGAAATCCAGGAGTTTAGGGTGGAGAGAAAGTTCAGGTGTGCATGCATCAGGACCTGTGTTTAACTCTCAGCCTGGCACAGTCCCCCAAGCACTGCCAGGTGTAGCCCTGGATGCTACTAAGCGTCACCCACATGTCCCTGGTGTCCCTTGGGCCGTAGCATTGAGCCAGCCTGCAAATCAGAGAAATATCACCAGGAGAGGCCCCTGAGCCCCGAAGCCACACACCCCAAATCGATGAGTTTTACCCAATAATTGACCCTTGTTTCTCATATTTAACCCCTAAGTAGCTACTAAGAAACTGACCTGTCCCCAGCACTACTGACCTAGGCAACATCCGCGTCTGCTGCTGCTGCTGCTGCTGCTGCTGTGTCCAGCCCCCATCACCTGTCCCCTAGAGCTGCGGCCCATGCCACCCCTACAGTTGCTGGCTAGTCAGGAAGAATTTGCAGCAGATCAGGTCCCCACTAACGCTGCCCAACATCCAAATAGATCTCCCTCCCTCCCTCGGCTGCACACATCAGTAGGAGCTGATCCACAAAGGTTTCCCTCGTTCTTGCTAGACTAGTTCTTACTTCAGGCTTTGTAGCAGCTTTTGTCTCCTGAGTTGCTCCTCAGCAGTGTTTAAGGGCTCCTCCTAACTCTGTGCTCACTTCTGGAGGTGCTCAGGAGAGCATAGACTGTAGGACTAAGCTCAGTGGCAATCAACTGCTTTAACCTTTGTGCTCTTTGGCCCCAAGGTGTGGGGAGATTAATATGAATATTGCAAGCTCTTCTTTAATATGGGCTGGAGCGATAGCACAGTGGGTAGGGTGTTTGCCTTGCATGTGGCCGACCCAGCCGACCCGGGTTCAATTCCTCCGCCTGTCTTAGAGAGCCCAGCAAGCTACCAAGAGTATCTTGCCCACAGAGCAAAGCCTGGCAAGCTACCCATGATGTATTTGATATGCCAAACACAGTAACAAGTCTCACAATGGAGTCGTCGAGCAAATCGATGAACAAGGGGAGGACAGTGCTACAGTGCTTGTTTAATATAGCTTTCTTTTACTTTTTTGTTTGTTTGGGGGCCACACTCGGCAGTGCTCAGGGCCACACTCGGCAGTGCTCAGGGCCACACTTGGCAGTGCTCAGGGCTTACTCCTGGCTCAGCACTCAATCCTGGCAGGGCTCAAGGGACCATATGGGATGTCAGGGATCAAATCTGGGTTGACCGTGTGTAATGCAAGCACCCCACCTACTGTACCCACCTCCGACTCCCTCTTTTGTCTTATTTTTTAAAGCTTGCTGAAGGAGTTTGAACTGGCAACCTGTTTATCTGAAACTTTATCCTTAGCTTTTGCCTCACCATGGAATTCATTCAGGAGTTCATCCTGAGATTGTTTCTTGGGTGATTTCTTCCTAAAATAAAGCGTTGGCTCAGTATTTCTTTGTTTTACCTAATCTATTATTTCTTCATTTTATTCAGAATAGTGGTAGAGCTTTTCATGATCAACTCAAGCTGTTTTCATTAGGAAAACTTAAGTGCAGGCAGAGATGACTTAATGTGTTGACATATTGACACGCTACTTCCTCAAAGCAGATACTTGGAAATTAGCATGACCTTGAATCTAGACTAGACCTTGAATCTAGTCTCAAAGGAGAATCAGGATGGTTTACAAGTGAAAAGCCACAAGGTTCTTCCAAACTAAAATGTGATTGACGGTTACTGAGGAAGCTGCGAGTCATGAAGTAGAGTTGAGGGCAAGAACTGTTTGTATATGATGTCTTCACTTTATCTTGTA